GATCGAGGCCGGTTCGGGGAGGGTGCCCTGATGTTCTTCGTGCTTGTTGGCTGCTCTCGTGCATCCCAGAAAAGGGGCACCCCCGAGTGTTCTCCCCCTTCGCCGGCGGAGGGTCTCGTGTTCCTGAGAGGGATGCAGTTCTGCCCCAGGCCCGGCCGCACTGCGGGCACATTCACCCCCCTGCACACTCCGATGCTCCTCACAGCATCCACTCCCAGAGGCCTCGGCCCCTTCCCGGGGGACCGGCGTCTCATCCCCGAGTCGCGCTTCGAGGGTCCCGGGGCCCCGCAGAGGCCCCTCGGAGGCCGGAGACAGCGAACAGGCTCCCGTCGTGATTCTGTTGTGGGCCTTGGGCGTGCCTCGGGCGGGGTGCTGGGGCGAGGGGAGCGCTTCTTACGAGTTTGAAGCATATCCCTTATCCTTATGTTTGACATCACCTCACCTCGGTGCCGATCTCAAGGATTCCCTCAAGGTTCTGAGGGCCTACCCCTGAGATTGTCCTCGCTGTTTGCTCGCACATCTTAGGGATAGGGATAAGTTCGGGGCTGGTTACGTTCCAGAGCGCTCCAGTGCGCTCTCGGAGCGTTCCCGAGCGCTCCGAGGAGGCCGCGGCGCAGGACGCGTCCTCCCGAGCCGCCGGCTCTCAGAGATCCTCGACGTCTCCTCGCCCGATGTCGGCCTCGCCCTGGCCCCGTCGCGCGTTCTGCCCTGGCCTGCCGCGGGCCGCGGCGCTCGACGCGTCCGCCCGAAGCGCCAGAACTCGGAGGTTCAAGATGCCTCCTCGCCCGATGTTCTCCTCGCCCCGGCTTCGTCGGGCGTTCTGCCTTGCCCTGCCGCAGGACATTAGGGGGGGTGGACGGGCGCGTCATCGCCATCGCCATGATCACCGCCGTGGGCATCGTCATCGGCACCGTCCTCCTCCGAGTAGGAGGAGGAGGGAGAGGAGGAGGGGGAGGAGGGGGAGGAGGAGGAGGAGGAGGAGGAGGAGAGAGAGGAGGAGGAGGAGGAGGAGGAGGAGGAGGAGGAGGAGGAGGAGGAGGAAGGAGGAGGAAGTAGGAGGAGGAAGGAGGAGGAAGGAGGAGGAGGAGGAAGAGGGAGGAGGAGGAGGGAGGAGGAGAGGAGGAGGAGGAGGAGGAGGAGGAGGAAGGAGGAGGAGGAGGGAGGAAGGAGGAAGGAGGAAGGAGGAAGGAGGGAGGAGGAGGAGGAGGGGAGGAGGAGGAGGAGGAGGAGGAGGAGGGGGAGGAGGGGGAGGAGGAGGAGGAGGAGGAGGAGGAGGAGGAGGAGGAGGAGGAGGAGGAGGAGGAGGAGGAGGAGGAGGAGGAGGAGGAGAGGGAGGATGAGAGGGAGGAGAAGGGGGAGGAGGAGGAGTAGTGCCAACTCGGCCAGCGGGAGCGTCTTCCTGGCTCGGCGCATCCGGTGTCCTGCCCTGCCCCTCAGACGTTCTCTCCGGCCTCGTCGGGCGTTCTGCCCCGCCCCTCCGCAGGACATGGGCCAGGCGGCGTGCTGCAGCGAGTGCAGCCAGCGGGCGCCCGGGCCCGCCGGCGGCCCCAGCGCCAGCGCGCCCGCGGAGGGCGAGGCGCGGCAGCCCCCTGCAGGGGGGGGGGGAGGTGGGCAGGGGCAGCAGATAGGTTCGGTGGCCAGGCATGGGAGCGTCATGTCAACCCCAAAGATTTAGATGTTTCAAATTGTGGCTGAATGGAATTTTAGTGCGGTTTAGTGGCCGTTGGTGGTTGAGAGTTGGACCCGCGCGCTTGGCGCATACTCCTCTCCGCGAACCGCCAGCGCAGTCTGGCATGCAGTCCGCTTCTTGCACAGGTGGGCAGGGGCAACGATGGGGTTAAGTCGGGCGTGTCCCTCTACAGGGGTAGTCGGCGGCGAGCGCGGGGGGGAAGTGAGAAGGAGAAGGCCCTCTCAGAAGGCGGCGGGACTTCTCAGCAGCCCTCGCGCCTATTGCGAAGTTGTTTCTGTGTCGTCAGGGAAAGCTTGCAAAACGTCTCAGAAGGCTGGGGGACTTCCGAGCCTTCGGAGAAGATCCGCCCCTTCTTACTTCCCCCCCTCGCCCACCGCCAAGAAAGAGGGGGGGGGAGGGGGCACACAGGTGGGCAGGGGCAACGATAGCGTGAAGTCGGGCATGTCCCTCTACAGGAGGAATGTGCAGGAATGGTCCAGAAATAGTCTGGGGACGCTGTGCCTATACTGTGGGCCAGTTGTGAGGAGGACGATGTCTTCCTACTTCCGGTTGTTCTGGCTTTCGCTTTCCTCCCAAGATCCGCCGCTAGGAGGACATGCCCGACCTGACGATAAGGGGGGGTAGACACAGGGGGGCACGCATCGACCCCCAAACGACCAGCGATCGCAGATGGTCGACGAATGACAGCCAGCATCAGCATGAACTTTTGAGGGTCCGCGCGGATCTCTTGGAGCCGTTCAGGGCCCCTCCTGCGCCGCCCCAGGCAAGCCTCCGCGCGCCACGCGTAGGGGGGTCCAGCGCAGACCCAAGGAATCCGCGCGGAGCGCCAAGAGTGCATGCTCGTGCCGTGTTTTGTTCCTCCAGATAGTGGTATGATAACGGGGCCACATGCGAGCCCTACCCCTGCCCCCCACGATTTCTGAGGGGGAGGGTGGAGTTCACTTCGCTCGAGGGCTCCCGATCAAAGTGACCCCCCCTCCCCCTCAGAAATCGTGGGGGGTAGGGGTAGGGTTCGCATGTGGCCCCCTATTGATAGCCCCACCCCGCCCAGGAACGTGCAGAGTCGCTATTGGGGGCCCTCCGCCGATTTATCGGCGATGTATCGCCAATTCCCGGTCGATGCTCCCCCCTGTGCCAGTCCCCCCCGATCGTTGCCCTTCACAGACGGAGGATGAAGAGGAGTCAAGCAGTGGCGAGGCGCCCTGATTTGGCCTCATACCCACCAAGGACTGTTCTAAGAACCTCTCGTAGTTTGCGCGACGTGCTCTCGGAACCTGCACTTTTGGGATTGTCTTGTTTCAACCAATCGGCTTCATGTTCGAAGAAGGCTGGTTTTGTTCCTAGAACGCTCTCGGGCTCTAAGCCAATGGAGCAAATACCACCCGGACCGGACAATTGGCGTTTACTCAATGGCCCTGGGCGTTTTTTACCAGCCCTGCCTGTTTGATTCCTTTTTTGGGGTACGTTTACTAAACGGCTTCGCGTGTCGGAGTGGTTACTATCGGGGTGGATTTTCTGCCCTTTACTAAGAACATGTAGGCCTGTAGGAATGCCGAGGCGCCCGGCCTCTGCTCAAGCTGTGCAGCGTAGTTATGGCCAGCGAGCGCCGCCATCATCTGACAGCCGAGACGGCTAATCGGGAGTGCAATCCAGTCCAAATCCGTTCGTGTCGCCGTCGTGGTCGCTAGGGGCGGTCCCCTATTTCCCCTGTGGGCTCGTGCCCCCCCCTGTGGGGGGGGGCGTCTCCTGACCCAGACCCCCTCGCGCCGTGGAAACTAAAACACGACGGGAGGTGCTTCGCTGCGCTTCGGCCTCCGGGGCCCCTCTCCGCGCCCCGGGACCGTCAAGCAACGACTCAGGATCAAGAGGCGGTCCCGGGGAAGGGGTCGGGGGTCGACGTCGAGAAGTAATCACGACGTCGGGGGTCTTGGGAAGAGGCTGTTTTCGGCCTCTGGGGCCCCTCGCCGCACCCCGGGGAAGGGGTCGAGACTTCTGGGGGTCGACTTCGCGAAGTAAGCACGACGTCGATGTTCTTGGGAGGAGGCATGTTGTTTCCTGACCTTGCCTGTGTCAGCGCACGTTTCTTTTCATCCGCCTGCAGGGTGCCGACTCGGGCTTGCCGCTTTCGCTGTGAACTGTAGGAAATTGGCGTTGAAGACGTCACTGCGATTCGGCCCCAGCGCGGCGCCGAAGCCCTCGATGCAATGGCCGTGCGCCTGCGACTTTTAGCAGGGGTGAGGATCGCGGGGCCACGCGAGGGGATGGGAGGCTTAGAGAGCTGAGGCAATGGGAGGGGAGGACCTTCCACATACAGTCTCCAGCTTCTTGGAACGAAATGTGCGATCGCGAGAGGAGGCACACGAACGGAAATGAGCAGATGCCATGCTTGCACTCATCACTCACATGGCCCAGTCCAGACCAGCCCGGCTAAGGCGCGTGACAAGCCTTGCCGAATCTATGTTCAAAATTGGTGGCTTCGGGGATGTGCGCTTTGGCAGGCTTCGCTCCTGGTACATTCTGTGCCGAGCCAGCCACCTGCCAGGGGTGGCGCCGAGGGAGTGTGAAGCCTACAGATGACTTGGGGTCGTTCCGATCAGTGTTTGCGGCACGGTGCGGATACGAAGTACAGTAAGTGAGAGATTACACCATCACTGACAGCAACGCGGGTCGGACCCCAGGTGGCGTAAGCATGTCCTTCGGTCTGGTATTCCTTCCAGCACCACCACAAATCAAACATGGGTTTTGTATCTACTTGCGGCGGGGGGGGTATCCCACGCCGTTCCCCAGCAGAGTAGCGCTACGGTTCCGCCAGTGGAATACGGACACACGGAACTATCTCGCGTGGCCAGGCCAGTCCACATCGGTACCATGGGCAGTTTGCGTACCGTAGGGTTGTTGTACAGGGGTCGCCGTACACCATGTGATGTGGATGTGCGACTTCAGCCGCATTTGATTTCCCCAACCAGCATCTATGCCGTACGGGGTGCCAGTGCAACGGAGTGGCCTAGTTTGCATTTTGAGAAGTTGGTACACCTAGGAGTTACAACAGGAGGAGGGGGAAGCTGAGTGCTCGTCAAGGTGTTGCGCCACATGGTATGCAGGCTGGACAGGGCCAGATCACGCAGACGTGCGGGACCAGCAGCGGCGACCACGAGCACGAGGGCAGAGGCAGTGGAGAAGGCACGGGCTGGTGGTGTACAGAGCTCGGATCCCTTCCCGGGCATGCGACGTCCTGATTTTTCCTTCCGTGCGGGGCCCCCGGAAGTCCCGACCCTTTTCCCCGGGACCAGATTTTCATCCCGAGTCGTTTTCTGATGGCCCCGAGGCCCTGCAATGGCTCCCCGAGGCCGAAACTGGCCGAACACCTCCCGCCCTGATTGTTTTTTCTACGACGCGATCATGCCGGGGCTTCCAGAGCACGAAGGGCGGGGGAGGAGGAGAAGGGGGCTCGGCGTGGGCTGCTCCGGCCGGAGCCGTGGGCCCCCCCCTCTCACGCCCCGAGGCGCGCTCGCCTGCCCCGGGGCGCGGGCGGAGCCCGGGCCAGCACGACGCGTGGTGCGTGCCCGAGGAGGGGCGCACGGGCGAGGTTTAAGTCGCGCCGGTCCCTCTACAGGGGGAATCTTCAAAACAGTTAAAACATAGTCTAATCAACATTTTGTTGAATTCTACTTGGGATTATTTTTTGAATATTTGTTTACCATTTTGGAGCATTTTTGCCCTATATGTTTGCCGTTTTTTATTGCGAAGGCCTTACGGCCAGTGCCGCCGACCCTGGAGGGCGACCCATGCGTTCTCTAATGTGGCGGGGGGGGCCTCTTGGGGGTATTTTGGGGTCTCCTGTGGGGGGGGGTCGTGTTGGGGCCGTTGTTGGCAATCGTGAGGCTTTCTCGGGAGCGTCTTTGGCCGACGACGACGACGTTGACGGCGGTGGCGATCTGGAGCTATTCTCAAGGGTCTCTCGGGGACTCTCTGGGGCTCTCTCGAGACTCTCTCGGGGCCTTCTTGGGCCAGTTTGGGGCTTTCTCGTGGGTCTTTTCGACCGTATTGGGGGTGGGGGGTCTTGGGAGCCTTTGGGGTTGCTTTGGAGTGTTCTTGGGCTCGGCGCTCCGGGGGCAGCTACCTTGCCCCGCGCTTTTCAGTAGCTACGTTGCGGTTAAAGGGTGAGCCAACCGAGCCTCAGCTCATGCCGGATGAGCACGCGAAGCTCCTGTGGGCCTCTTGGGGTTTCCTGGAGGCCTCTTGGGGATCTCGTGGTGGCCTCTTGGGGACATCTTGGGGCTTCCTGGGAGCCTCTGTCGCCGAGGGCTCGTCGGGCCCCCCGTCTGGGCACCCTGTTGGAGCCGTTTGGGGAGCCTCTGGGGCCATCTTGGAGGCATCTTGGGCGGTCTTGAGGCTCTCTTGGGTCATTTTGGGGCTCTCTTGAGGCCTCTTGGGCTATCTTGGGGCAATCTTGGGGGCATCTGGGGCCGTCTTGGAGCGTCGGCAAGTTGAAACGGCGAGAACGCCAAAATCTGTCAAAAACTTTAAGGAAATCATTGATTTTTCCCTCTTCGTGCCCTCTTGGGAGTGCTCTTGGAGACTTCTTGGAGCGTCTTGGCAATCTCTTGGGCCGTCTGGAGGCTACTTTGGCGTCTTCGACCGATGGTTCGGCGATTCGGGGCCCTCTGGAGCCGTCTTGGAAGCCTCTTGGGGCACTCTTGGCCAGTCTGGGGGCTTTTCTAGGTCCCGGGACATCCCGGGGGGGATGCGTATCTGCCCCCCCTGGGACCCCCTGGGACCCCCCCCCCCCCCCGCGGGGAAGGGATCAAAGGGAAGGGGTTCCCTTCGACTCAGCTACGACGTTGTTCAATTTCGCTTTGCCTTCGACTCAGCTACGACGTTGCTCGATTTCGCTTTGGTTTCGCTTCGGCTAGCGCGCCTGAGGGGAGGGCGACGACGACGACGACGACGACGACGACGAACGGAAGAGCATCGACGACAACGACGACGACGACGACGACGACGGCGACGACGACGACGACGACGGCGGCGACGACGACGACGACGACTTTCACGACGAACGGAAAAGCATCTTCCACACGCCGACAGGGTCGGCGGATTTTGGAGCACTTTTGCCCTATATGTTTGCCGTTTTTCATTTTTCGTCGAAGATCTCCCTGTAGGGGGACACGCCCGACTTAAGGCGAGGTCTCTGCCGCAGCGTTGCTCGGCCTCCACCTCAGAGAAGGAAAAGGCACGCATACCTCCACCCCCGTCGCCCTTTTTCCCCTGTGTGCGCCTCCTGGGAGTCAAGCAGTGGCGAAGCGTCCTGGATCGCCTATAGCCCTACCAAACAATGTTATACTAATCTTTTGTGGTTTCCACGACATGTTCTTAGAACATTTCTGGTTGATATTGTCTTGCTGTATCACATCGGGATTATGTTCTAAGAACATGGTTTTGTGTTTTTGAGCATGTTTGGGGGTTCCAAGATCCTTCCGTGGTAGGACTATAGGAATGCCGGGGCGGTCGGTCCCTGCTCAACACACCTCCACCCCCGTCGCCCTTTTTCCCCTGTTTGGGCCTCCTGGGAGGCCCTCGTTGCCACCGCTGGATTCGCCTCGAGATCCTGGTCAGAACGCACCCTGGGAGAGGTCCTGGGGGGTAGCGCCATCGGTACCTGTCGGTCTCCCCCCACCAGGCGCAGGCAGGACTCGTTTCGATTTCTCCGACTCGATTCGATTCGACTTCGATTGCCTCCGATTCCGATTCGATTCGATTTCAGATTCCGACTCGGATGCCGATGCCTCAATGACGGCCCAGTGACTTGCCGATTTCTGCAGATTCGACGTTTCACGACTCGGCTGCCGATTCCCGCCGATCCGATTCATGTCGATCGCCGATCGGACTTGTCAATTCGAAACTGGGCTATCCTGGGGGCGCAGGGGCGAGGTCTTTGCCGCAGCGCTTCTCAGCCTCCACCACAAGGAGGCTTGGTAGCTTGGGGCCCCGTTAGGAAGCCCCCACAGGCCCGGAGGCCCAGGGGATCGCACGCGAGGCCTCCCAGGATGGGTGTCCAAAGGTCTTTTGATCGAGAGGAGTGGCGTCGTGTCTGTTCCCGCGTTGACTGTTTTGTATAGCTGCAGCCTCGTCACTGATGATTTTGCACCGATAGGCTGGTCGAGACAGTGTCCACGGTGGGTCGATTACAAGTTCTGATCAGACTTCAGTGAGGGCGGACAGCGTATCATGTTGATTCCGTCGCATGGGAAATTGTTCAGCGCCGAGGGGCGAGGGCAAGGGTGGGAGAATGCATCCCTTCGTTGTCCCTCCCAGTTGAGGTACCCAGGCGCTGGACACTCTTCCAGTCGATCCTTGGTTTTCACCGAAACCATGAGGTTATGCCTACACCAGTCTTGCTTATACTTGGAAGTAAGATTGGTCGTACTGCATATGCGAAAACATGCGGGCTACACAGCAGCGGTTACAGTCAAAAGTGCGAGTAAGGAAACACGGGCGTCTTTAGGGTACCTTTGCGTCCTTGCCCTTGCGGCCCGTCCTTCGTGGTTGTCATTGGCCAGCCCTTCAGGGTGTTGGCAGTCCGCCGCCCCAAAAGTGCTAATTTCAGAGACATGTTCGAGCGGGAGCCTCGCCCGGAAGTAGTTCGGCAGGAATAGATTGAGCGGAAGCCCTTCCCTACTCTGGATGGGGTATTATCAAGGGCGGGGCGATTAGCCTTCTGACTAAGCCTGCCCTATCCCGCCCCCCTCCATCCTCCTCCCCTTCCTCCTCCTTCCCCTCCTCCTCCTCCTCCTCCTCCTCCCTCTCCTCCTCCTCCTCCTCCTCCTCCTCCTCCTCCTCCTCCTCCTCCTCCTCCTCCTCCTCCTCCAACCCCCCATCCACCCGTTCCGCCAGCACGTGCCCAACTCCCCCAGCGGATCCAAGGGGGGGGGGCGATTATTGCCGCATCCAGGGTCTAGGGCTCACTTCTATGTTCGAGTCCGAAGCGGGCATTGGATAACCAGAAAGCACATAGGGTTGTTGACACCTGGGGGCCTCAACCCAGAGGAACTCTCAAGCTGCACACGGTCCCTGAGCAAACCGAGAGGCTGTCTCGGGCGCTTCTTTGTTTGTGATTGAAACGCAGGGAAGTCTCGAGAGGGAGTCCCTCTCCACCTCCGTGTTCGAATCCGGGGCGGCTATCTGGAAGTCGAGAGGATGGCTCGGGCGCCCGCGTGCAAGGGAAGCGCGAGACAGACTCGAGGGGGAGCGCCCTCCTGAGTATGGCGCCCCCCCACCCCGCTTCCTCTGCATCCTCGGTGGCGGCCCTCTGAAGCCCCTGGAGGATGAGGAGGAGAAGGAGGGGGAGGAGGGGGAGGAGGAGGAGGAGGAGTAGGGGGAGGAGGGGGAGGAGGAGGAGGAGGAGGAGGAGGAGGAGGAGGGGGAAGAGGGGAAGGTGGAGGAGGAGGAGGAGGACACCTGGCTGGCCTGGGTCGTGAGACGGTCTTGAGCGGGGGTGGGGGCTCGCTCCCTTGCCGATGCGTCCCTGCTTGACCTTAAGTCGGGCCTGTCCCTCAATGTTTGAGGATGTTAAGCTATTTTTGAGTTTTCTGCCAAAATCTGCCTGCAGGGGGACATGCCCGACCTGAGCTGAACCCGAGGCGTCCATCCGCAGGGCACGACATATTCAGGGGACGATTTGTTGTACTACGCTCGAATATTGGGTATTCTTGACTATTCTTTATCTTTCTTCTAAAATCCGCCTGTAGAAGGACGTGTGCGACCTACGTGTAAGCGTCGGCAAGGACCGGCAGATCCCCAGACAGAAAGAGATTCTCCGTGAAGTGATCGTTTCTCTTATTCATTGTTTTGCCGATCGGCGCAGGCTGTCGCCCCCCCCCGCGTGCAGTAAATAGGTCTTGGCTGTACTTGGCGCCCGCTTCGAGCAGGTGGGGTCTCCCCCACAGGACGCACTATTCCAAACAGGCGCACTAGGCAATGGTCCGGGGCCATACCTTCCCCCGGCTCCCCCCCTTCCGCCAAATGCCGGAACGCCGAATAAGAAAGCGTTCGCGTAGTCATAAGGACGGCGATGAGAATTATTTCTTGATGGTTCTGGGGAATCCAATGGGGGGTCATGCTGTCAGAGTAAGTATCCTGAGATGAAGTTGCGGCCGTTCAGTCCGTTTTGTTGTTGAGGAGCTGCGGCAGGCGGTCTGAAGCCCACGATCTTACCACGTGTACGCCTGGCGCTTGTTCATCGACGGGCCGATCTGAATGTCGGGCCCATCTGTCAAATTTGCCTGCCGACTCGAAGCTGGGCAGTGGAGGAGAGTGACAAGCTCAACACCACGCTGGCGCTCGCGAGCGGCAGCTCCAAGCCGTATCCTCATGTGGCCGCCAGGCCCAGACTGCGCACAGCCTTGATTCAGGCATGAGTGTCAGTGGGATCGTTGTCCGACGGTCAGTCTAGTTATCAGGGATCCCTCAGATGGATCGAGCCTTTGGGAACCTTGGGATCTGTCGCGGTAGCTCGGGTGAACGAAACCATTACCGAGTTTGGACCCAACGCCAATCGTACCCAGGGGTGTTCAAAGCGTTGCCCCTTACTCGCTGCCAGCCATTGCGAGCTCCTTCGCGTTATCTCGCCCACATGCTCAGAAGAATTGTTGACATTGTAGACTCGAATGATGAAATAGGTCATCGTTTGTCTCATAGATGGAGTTTCCCAGGCACCGTAGAGCAGTATTTCTCGGCCGCTTCAACGACCAAGAGGCCTCGCTCCTTGTCTGCGGTTCTTCGTATCATAGTGGTTACTGTCGGGGAGCTTGGTGGATAGGTCTGACAGGGTCGCAAACGGTAAAACAGTTTGTCCCTATATTGAGTTTCCCCTTCCCGCGCTTTTCTACCCCCGCTTCCCATAGGGCAGATGAGTGGAGGCAGCAGAACTGAGTTGCAGGATAGGGTGCCGCGTAGAGCGGGCGTTGTGGAAGTTTTCGGTCAGGGTCCATGTGGGCTTCGCATTGTTCTGGCATCTCGTGGCATTGCTTGGCTGTCGTGGTCATCGATTTGCATTGCCTTGCATTGCATGGTGCTGCTTGGCATTTCGTTACCTTGCTTGGCAGTGTTTGTTATTTCTTTCCAGAATTTGGCACTACGTGGCGTTGCTTGGCATTGATGGTCTTTGTTAGACATTGTTTGGAATTGGCTTTGCCCTACCTGGCATTTCGTAGTGTTGCTTGGCATCGTCTGATATCATTGCTTGGACTCCTTGCTTGGCACTGCGGCATTGCATGGCACTGCGCGGCATTCCCAGGCATTGACTTGCGTTACTGTGCATTGCCAGGCGTTCCGAGGCATTGCTTGGCATTGCGCTATCTTGCTCGGCATCGTTGTGGTCATTTCTCGGTTCTGCCTTGAATTGCGAGGCATCGATCCGGCCGAGGAAGGTAACAAGGCACCAAATCAGCGAACCCGAAGTGACAGTCGGAGGCCAGGCAAAACGCCGGGCGCCGCCAGCGCAAGGGACCAGACCCAGAAGCCCGAGCGTCGCCTGGGGCCGCCAACGCAGGAAGCCAACACCAAGGAATCCGATGATCCACGCGTCGGAGCTAGGGGAAGAAGCAACGACATGAACATGACAACTCGGAGGTCCCCACAGATCTCTCGGATCGGCGCTGGGGCCCCTAGGGCGGCGCCTCCGGAGCCGCACTGGGCGCGTTCCGCGCGCCAGAGAGGGGGGTCTGGCGTCGCTCCGAGAGATCTGCACGGGCCTCCAAGCTCTCCCGGCGTCGGAGCTGGGGCCTCGCATCCACCCGTCTCTTCGACAGGACAAGGAGGGAACCCTTGGCCTGGCATCGCTCGGACGTGTGCACTCGTGCTCGTCCAGGATCATCGAGGAGCATCCTGGATCCTCGAGCGGAAAAGAGCACGCGCACGACACCGAGAAGTGCACGGGGAGTGGACGTCCGAGCGATGGCGAGTGAGGCAAAGCCGAGCTCGGGGAAGCACCTCCCGCACGGCGGACCCTCTGATGTACGCGGCATTTTGCGCGGGTCTGGCCCGTGCCCGTGTGTCACAGTGACAGGGCTCAGTTCGATTCCTCCGATTCGATTCGATTCGATTTTGATTCATTCCGATTCCGATTCGATTCGACTTCGGATTCCGATTTAGGATCCGATTTCTCAATCGAGGCCTACCAGCCTGCCGACGTCTACCGATTCGACGTTTCCCGATTCGGTTACCGATTTCCGCCGATCCGATTCATTTCGATCGCCGATCCTACTTTTCGATTCGTTCCTGGGCTCTCCTGCAGTGAAGAAGACATGGGGCTCTGGTGGACAAGGGCCAAGGAGGTTCATCTCCGTTTCTGGGGGCTCCCGGGCCTCCATCCTGGCGAAAGGCCCCCGGGTCCAGGAACGGGTTCCACAGGGGACTTTTCTCACGCTCGTGCCGGCGTGTCTGTCCTGGGACCGTTCCGTGACCGTTGCTGCACGTCCCGTGCTCACCGAGCGCGTTCTGCTACTCGCGAAGTGCCTACTCGCAAACGTCTGAGAAGCACATGCCTGCACCGATGTAAGGTATCGTGAGTCCCCCGCGGCGGATCCAGGCCACTTGCGAGTAGTTACTCTGCGAGTAGTGGAACGCGCTCGTCTACCTGCCGGCCTGCCTCTCTGCGTGCCGCCCCGCAGGAAAGCACCTGGCAAGCTGGATGCCATTGACGAGGCTGGGCCCTTCCCCTCGCAGCTGCAGTCGGACATGTCCCTCCACAGGAGAAATCTTCAACACTGGTCAAAAATTAGTCTGGGGACGATTTTCCCTTTTATTCTTGACCATAGCCGTCAATGTTTGACTATACTGCACTTGTCCTGCAAAATCCGCCTGTAGGAGGACATGCCCGACGCAAGTCTTACCCCATCTTGCGCGCCCCGCACACCTTAGCGCGGCCGCAGGGCAGAACGCCCCCGGAGGGCAGCCCGAGCGAGGATCCCCAGATGCAGCCGCGGTGAGTCCTGGAGCGCAAGCTAGGCACCTCTACTCTGCAGGGCGAGCAACATTCCGACGCGCGCTCTCGGAGTACGGCTGCGGATTGCGATTGCATGGCGCACGTGTTAGGGGTGGCATAGTTACGAGAGCGCTAGCATACAGATGCGCGGAGCATAACACAGTCGAATGCATTGGACGAGAGAGGTCCAGCGCGAGAAAGAGTGGAACCGAGCGGAGTGATTTACAGAATCGTTCATGGTGGGTCTACCCTGGGTAAATGTAGAACAGGGGCGCGCAGGACAGTAGCCAATCAAGTAGAGTGCGGTAAAGTTCAGCATGGACCAGCGTGTCAGATACTCTCAGACAGCAGAACGTAACAAGCGCAGTGCAGTTTCCTGCAACGTAGTATACACATCTGTGTGAGGCTCACTGATGCAGACGCATCTGCCATCCACCTCACAAGACACAGTGGATATGGCTTGGGTTAAGTCGGGCCTGTCCCCCTACAGGAGGATTTTCGACGACAAATAGAACATACCCCAAACATACCCCGAAAAGGTCAAACAATACTCACAAAATAGTCCCCAGACTATTTTTGGATCAGGCCCGACTTAAGACTTGGGCCAGCTGTCGTTATTGCGCGGTGAGCGAGCAGGGGAGCGGTGTGAACGCCATGCTCACGAGGACGCGCGCACGAGACAGTATGCGGCAGGGGTACACCGTCGAGCCCGGGAGCTGGCACCACGCCCTCGAGGAGCCGGGCTCCTCCACGAAGGCGCACCCCTTTGCACGCTGCTCGCTCACGTCTTCTCCGTGCGTCCATCGCTCTCGGTGTGGCGCGTCGCCACTGCGCACTCCTCGCACAACTGGTACCACCCGCGTCGCAATACCACTGCAGTGCAGCATGACGTGTGCTCTGGACGCTCGTGGGCAACGCGAGCTTGTGAATCGAATGCGTCTCCAGCGTCTGAGCGCCGACCCCTGCCCGTTCTGAAGCGCCGATGTGGCTGATCAGTGGGAGATGACGTCACTGTTCTGGCAGTCTGAGACAGTTTTAGAGAAATGGGAGATGCCAGATGGTCTTGCCAGCCTAAAGCAGTTTTGCACTGCGGTCCGAGGCTCTATGAGAGCAGCTCGGGCCGTTTTTGGGGCCTCTAAGCTTGCATTACCAGCCTCATGAGGACTTCTCGGGCCGTCTTCGGGAGCCTCTTGGGACTCTTGGGAGCATTGTGAACTATGTTGGTCGCCTCTGCGGCCATCGGACGCCGTCTTGGAGACTTATCGCGGCGTCATGGGTCCCTGGTTTTCTCGTTGGCCTGCGAGGAGCCATCTTGGCTCCAAAAGCTGGGGAGGTGTAAGGCAGACTCCATGCTTGTGCTCGTATGAGGCTTCTGGGGCTTCCCACCGGCCTCGCATCTTGGGGCTCCTCGGAGCCACCCTCCTCGGCGGAGGGAGGGGAGGATGAGGAGGAGCAGGGAGGAGGAGGAGGAGGAGCAGAAGAGGAGGAGGAGGAGGAGGAGGAGGAGGAGGAGGAGGGAGGAGCCCTTTGAGACGCTGCACGCCGAGTGGCGCGATGCCCACGCGGACCAGGAGCCCCTGTGGCGCGATGCCCCTCCTCCTCATCCTCCTCCTCCTCTCCTCCTCTCCTCCTCCCATCCTCATCCTCATCCTCATTCTCTCTCCTCCTCTCCTTCATCTCCCCTCCTCCTCCTCCCTCCTCCTCCTCCTTCCTGTTCCTCCTCCTCTTCCTCCTCCTCCTCTTCCTCCTCCTCCTCCTCCCTCCTCCATCCTCCCTCCTGTCTCCCCCTCCTCCTCCTCCTGCGGCGTTGCGGGGCGCGCCCGTGGGATCGGCGCTGCACCGCGGGGGCGCGGCGGGCCCCCTCACCGCCTCGGCGAGGCGGCGGCGCCGGCGGCGGCGGCCACGCGGCCCTCGGGTGCAACGACAGAGGGGGAGTTGCACAGGTTAGATCAGCGAGCGAAGGACGATATAAAATAAACTTCCCGCCGTCGGAGACACCTGCCCCTGGGCGGCTGATCCTCCCGTCACCTCGGCCACCCTCCCGGCCCCAAACCTCGGCCATCCTCCCAGCCCCGCACCTCGGCCATCCTCCCGGCCGCCGCGAAAGTTCGCCAAAAATCGGCCTCCAGGCTGCCTCGCCCGGACTGCCAGCGCCCCCATGTTCACCGCAAAGATGCAGAGCCCCCACGGGGCTTACATGGCATAGGGGGGATGCATTGACCCCAAATCGCCATTGGATCGCCGATAGGTGCCCGAGGGTCCCAACTTGCCCAGGAAGGTGCGGGTTCACTATCGGAAGTCTATCGCCGATCTATCGGCGATGCAATGTTTCCCCCCCTATGCCAGTACCCCCCTATCGTTGCTCCTCAGGCCCGCTTTTCATCCTGAGTATTTGGGTGGACCTTCGGGGCGATCGACATGGGTACGTACGGAGATAAGGGGTACAAAGACCGACAGAGTTCCATGTCCATTTTGAGCAGGATTCGCTGTCGGTGTCGCTGCGGGCCTGGTCCATTTGAGACAGAGGACCGCCTGCCCAACAGCGGAAGCTATCGGTTTGGGACAGCACGTTTGTTGTTGGGCATCGTGCCCACGTCTTCCGTACCCACCCTGGGCGTCCAAGGACACGGCATGGTTGGCGTGCTCAGGTCGTCTCGGGGGAAACGGGTCCTGAGGGAACTGGGTCCCGAGGTTTCCTCGGGCTCTCGGAGCCCTCCGCGGCCCCCGGAGACGTCAGAGCAGGACTCGGGATGAAGACCTCCTCCAGGGGGAAGACCCCAGGGTCCAGGACCCGCTGCCCCCATGTCAGACGCGGGGGTGTGGGGGAGAGGGGAGGAGGCGTCGCGGAAGAAGGCTGCCTCCGAGGAACATCAACCGATGTTTGGCCGGCGCCTTCTGAGAGGCAGCCTCCTTCCAAGAAGCCCCCCCTCTCTCCCCGTACCCCCCCCCTTTGTGCGCGCGCCGCCACGCTGGGTGGGCAGGGCAGACGCGCCTGGCCCGTGGGAAGGCCTCGGATCACGAGCTTCCGGGCTTGGCTTAAGGGCCGTGGGCCTGGGCCCCCCCGTGGAGTTCCCCGTGGGCCGCGAGGAGCTTTGCGGTCCAGGTCGTGGGCCTGGCATTCAGTCGGGCCTGTCCCTCTACAGGGGGATTTTCGACGAGGAATGAAAAATACACCAAATATAGTTCATACATAGTCCAAACATAGTCTGGGGACTGTTTTTGGAAGATTTGTTGACCTCGGTGGGGTACTTTTGGGGTATCTTTTATTTTCGGCCCACGAGCTCCTTGCGGTCCGGGCTGGCTGCTGAGCGCGGCCGCGGGCTTTCCCGTGGACTCCGGTGCGCTGCCATGTTCGGGCCGGACGAAAGGGGGGGATTGGGAAAGGGGGGGTTACGAAATTTGCTGCCTGCAGCTGGTTTCGGCCCCCACCGAGGGGCCGAGTCCTCGATACACTGGCGCCTCCGGCGCCGGGAGGCGCCAGGAAAATCGGCTACGTGAGCTGATTCTCAAGCCCCCCCCCCCTTGCTATCGATCCCCCCCTTTCGCCCGGCCCGACATGTGCGGGGGTCTGCGGCCCCAGCGCGCCGCGCCCTCCCCCGGGGGGGGGGCCGGGCCTCCGGGCCCGAGGGGCGCGCGTGCCTGGGGGCCGTCTTCGTGGACGGCTTCGGGGGCCTCCATGAAGACTGGGAGCAGGTCGAAACATATATATATATATATATATATATATATATATATATATGTATATATATATGTATGTATATATACACACACTCTATGATATTACGATGGCCCCCACTACTTGTGCATTCGGCGGGTGATTGAGACCTAACCTGGCGCGCCCGCGTAGTCCCGACTCTGGAGGACTTCGTGAGCGCCCCTTGGGTACGAGCGATATATATATATATATATATTTATATATATATATATATATAATTCATACACACACCTATACGACCACCCTTCGGGTGATAAGGAGGTTTTGGAGGGGGGAAAAGAGGGGTTGAACCAACATCTGACTCGATCGATCTCACTATGGATCTCACTCCACGGAACACCACGGGACACCACGGGGCACTTGCCGATCTCACTATCGATCTCACTATCGATCTCAGTCAACGGGACATCACGGGACACCACGGAACGCCAGGGGACACCGCGGAACACCTATCGATCTCAGTATCGGTCTCACTATCGATCTCACTATCAATCTCATTCAACGGGACACCACGGGACACCACATCGATCTCACTATCGATCTCACTATCGATCTCACTCAACGGGACACTACGGGACACCACGGGACACCACGGGACATCTGTCAATCTCAGTATCCATCTCACTATCGATCTCACTTTTTGGGACACCACGGGACACCACGGGACACCACGGGACACATCGTGCACCACATCGATCTCACTATCGATCTCACAATCGAGCTCATTTAACGGGACACCACGGGACACCTGTGGATCTCAATATCGATCTCGGGACATCACGGGGCACCAAGGGACACCTCGGGGCACCACATCGATCTCAGTATCGATCTCACTATCGATCTCACTCAACGGGGCACTACGGGACACCACGGGACACGGGCCGCCGGACGGGCGCATCATTTGGTCCGGCCGCGGCCCAGCCACAGGAAGATTTCGGGACACCCGCGGGACACCGGCGGGACACCGCGCGGCACCGGCCGCCAGAGGAGTTACATTTGGTCCGACCGCGGCCCAGCCACAGGAGGATTTCCTTTTGCCCGCCCACGCAGCTTCACCTCGCCCGCACGCGCGCACGGCACGCACGACACGAACCCGAAACCGACATCGATTTCCCGGTAGGGGGGGTCTCCGTTTCACGTCGGACTCGCCCCCCAACTTCCGATACATGGAATATATATATAAATAAATAGAGAGAGAGAGAGTGAGAGAGAGAGAAAAAAAACAAAAAAAAAAACGACACATATTTATCTATATATACATACATATATATATATGTGTGTGTATTATACAAAAAAGTCAGGGCATTTGTTTCTGGAGTTTTTTTTTACTATTTGCAAGCATTTCTTGACAAGTTGTTCTTCTCCAAAACATCCGCCTATAGGGGGACATGCCCTGAGACTGGGCAGCACCCCCACCCGAAAGGCTTCCGTTGCGTCGGCGGTCCGGGGGTGCCGGCGCGTGCCACGCGGCGGGCGCCGAGCTCCCACGGGGCCGTGCTCCGCCGGCGTCGGGCGAGTTCCCTGGCACGGCATTTGCCCTGCGGGGACCTCCTCCCTCCTCCTCCTCCTCCTCCCTCCTCCTCCTCCTCCTTCTCCTCCTCCCTCCTCCTCCTCCCTCCTCCTCCTCCTCCTCCTCCTCCTCCTCCTCCTCCATCCTCCTCCCTCATCCCTCCTCCTCGTCCTCCTCATCTGGGGCAGCCGCGGAGCTCTGTCAAAAGCAGTGGCGAGTCGTCCTGGCGTGCGCATGGGGCCCACCGAGCAGTGTTCCAGAAGCCTTACGTGGCTTCCACGGCACGTGCTCAGAACATTTTTGGCTGGGGCTGTCTTCTTTTTATCACATCGGGTTCATGTTCTAAGAACATCGTTTCTGTTCTTAGAACATTGTTGGGTTCTAAGAACATCGTTTCTGTTCTTAGAACATTCCTGGCTGGGACTGTCTTCTTTTTATCACATCGGGGTTATGCTCCAAGAACATTGTTTCCGCTCTCAGAACATGTTTGGGTTCTAAGAACATGTCCCAGTAGGCCCACAGGGATGCCGGGACGGTCGGTCCCTGCTCAACTGAGGGCACCCAGGACCTCCACGAAGTGGAGTTTGGATCCGGTGCGGCAGCAAAGAGGTTGTTTTCTATTTGCGTCTGCTCGCATGGCAGTTCTCTCCCCTCCTCCTCCCCTCCGCCCCCTTTTCCAGGAGCGCGGGGCCAGAAATGCGCGCAAGTGAGTCCCGACTTGCGTGAAGTCTGGGTTTCCTTCTGGGCCACGTCCCCCTCCCCCCCAGGTTGCCGAAAACGTATTGAGCAAGTAATGGCAATTGATTGCGAGTACAAAAAATTGCGCGGCAAGGCGCAAGTTGGTTCAGGACTTACGGAAGGAACGTGGTGACCGAAAACGAATGAAAAAACGGAGCCCAATATTGAAAGAAAACGGCGGCCCAAACTTCTACGAAACGCAAAGGCAGCGGCCATCAAAACGGAAAGAATACGTCGACATGAAAAAAAAACAACGAACAAAACCCCAGTTGTTGTAAGAACATCGAAGTGCGCACCCACGGGTGGTTATGAAACAGATATCCAGCTCGGCGGCGTGCAGAGAGGAAGTGAGAGCGGGCAGCCTTTCTCAGAAGGCGGCGGGGCTCCGGGAATCGGGCGCAGGAACCTGCAGCCCTCGCATCCTTGCTTGGCGTCGTTTTGCTACTGGCCGAAGGCTGCCCTGGGCACGCCGACACCTGGAGACTTGTGGTTTATGGGTTTCTTGCTGGGTTGGGACAAAAAAAAAAGACAGGTGGGGCTTCGGAGAAGGTTGGGACAGCTTCACTGAGGGCCCCAGGCCTCCTGAGCCTTCCGAAGAGGCCCACCGCCTCCGCCTTACCCTGCCGGACGCGCCGCCGAGTTGTCCAGCGACCATGCCTTGCCTCGGGTCTGCGGGCCCTCGGACGGGGCCAGCACGGGGACAGATCCGAGCCAGAGCTTGCAGGGCGTGCCCGAGCGCTCTGTGAAGGCCGCGGTGCCCGAGACATCCGTCAGAGCCGCAGGATCTCAGAGAGTCTCGATCTTCGAGCGTCCAGTACTGGGGGTGCGATGAAGGCGGGGGCGACGAACGGTACACGTGTTGCGCCCTGTTCTCGTGGGGCCAAGAAGGACGCACGCAGGGTGCACGGTGTTTCCCCTCCGTGAAGCGCTCGTTCGTGAATTCAAGCCCGAGATGTATCCTCAACCGATGTTGTCGTCGTCCTGGCTTCGTCGTGTAGAGTCAGAGGGCCGCTTGGGGGCGGTGGCCGCCCCTCGGCTGTGCACCCGCGCGCGCCAGGTTGCACGGCTCCCCGGGGGTGGGGGGGCGGGCGAGTGGCAGGGTGGCTCTCCTCCCCCCCTCCTCCTCCTCTTCCACCTCCTCTTCCTCCTCCTCCTCCTCCTCCTCCTTTCTGCTCCTCCCTCTCCGCCTCCTCCTCCTCCTCCTCCTCCTCCTCCGCCTCCTCCTCCTCTTCCTCCTCGTCCTCCTCCTCCTCCTCCTCCTCCTCCTCCTCCTCCTCCTCCTCCTCCTCCTCCTCCTCCCTCCTCCCCCTCGGCTTCCCGAGCTCTCGTGGGCGAGAGCCTGCAGCAGGACGGCGCGCAGGTTGCCGCAGCTTTGGCCCGCTCTTGGGGCCTTGGGGGCCCACGCGTTTGCACGCCTCGCCTGGTCTGGAGGGTTTCTCCAAAGGGCTGTGGCGACCCGTCCTCCTCCACCTCCTCCTCTTCCTCCTCCTCCTCCTCCTCCTCTCCTCCTCCTCCTCCTTCTCTCTGCCTCCTCCTCCTCCTCCTCCTCCTCCTCCTCCTCCTCCTCCGCTCCTCCTCTCCTCCTCCTCCTCCTCCTCCTTCCTCCTCCTCCTCCTCCTCCTCCTCCTCCTCCTCCTCCTCCTCCTCCTCCTCCTCCTCCTCCTCCTCCTCCTCCATCTCCTCCGCCATCGCCTCCTCCATTTCCTCCTCCACATGCCCCTCCTCCACCTGCTTCTCCTCATCCCCTCCTCGGGTCGCCTACGGCCCCGGGGGAAAACCATGCAGCCCGCTCTGGGGCATCAGGAGCCCTTTTGTTTTCACGCGCGTCCCGCTCTGGTGCTCTGAGGCATTAGGAACCCTTTTTTGTGTCTTCACGCTTGTCCGCCCAACCCTCGCTTCCCGCCAACCTCTCCCGAGTGAAGAGGCTAGCAGGGCAGAGGAAGGAGGTGTCAAGTAAGCAAGTCTATGTTCTACAGGCGCGCTTGCATGAAGTTGCAGGTTAGGTTGTTCAAGCGTATGTGTTCCCCCCCCCCGCAGGAGCACCAATACGGCACAAACATGAGCTTATGGAGGTATACGACGCCTCCGTTACCACCCTTGGCGCGCTCCACGCGCCATGGGTGGAAATGGGTCCACCGCCGACCCGGAATAACCCGCGCGGATCTCCGAGAGGTTTTTTGTTATGCCGTTTGGGATTTGTCCGATCTCTTCCCCACATCGTGACCCCCCTGCTTCGAGCAGCGCATGGCGCCACTCTCGTTCGCGTCCGCGTTCGCGAGTCGACTCGGTGCAGGAGCAGAGTTCAGCAAGTCTGTCGCGAGGATCCTTTTTGGTAATGAGGTCAACCGTATCGTCATCCCGGTGGTTCTTGAGGCGCTGCAGTGCGCGCATCAAAGATAAGAAGTTTGGTTGCCAACAGGCCTCACGATGTTGTCTTACCTCCTTATGGGTCCGCAGAGCCTGGGGCGTCTTTGCAAAGCTCAGAGTCGACGAAGCGAGTGCCTCACGATTCCTTACAGAAAGACCGCGATTCGCATGTACCTCCTGTATCTCATGCCCCCCCCCCCTTGCCCCCATGGGAGGAGTGCCGCCGAGCTGGAATCGACGGCTGGAGATCGTACACGCCGCAGGTGGTGCAGATGTGGCAGGAGCCTGTGGAAGCCACGGCGCAGGAGGGGGCGGGCAGATCGGGTGTTTGTAGGCCGCCCCCGCATACCGATGTGCACCATGGCGACGGCGATCGAAGCCGCAACAGATGGGACCCTTTGCAGTTGGCAGCGCGCAGCCAACATATGTTGTGCTCTCGGCGGAAACCTAATCGGGGTATTCCTGTCCAGCCCGTAGAGACACTCGCCTTAAAAGGAGAGGGCCGGACAGAAGGGCATCATCCAGACACAGGCGTTAGTTTGATGGGTAGGATGTCCGCTCATTCTGGCGGTTACGTTCACCGCGTGGCCACATAATTCGGGGCACTTTGACCGCAGCCGAAAACTGTTCTGTGGGAATGTCAGTAGATGGCCTCAGTCAACGATTTCTTGTCTATCGCATTGTCGCGTGCTCGTTCCTGAAACGAATGCCTTCATCAGGCAGCTGGGTAGTCAACTCCAAAGAGACCAAGACAACAACCATCTTGACAATCTAGAATCGACGACGCATTCCCAGAATTTCTTCTCGAGTTGGAACAATCCCAACCGGCGGGCCAATAGCGAGGAGCTGTCAGAGCCTATTTTAGGGCGAGGGTTTAGATATGAATGACCGAGATGGTACGATTATGGTTCGGAAGTTCCTTATCTCGTTGGCCTCTTGCTAAATGACGTTTCAAGATATTGCAGGTGCAGGTGGCGCTAGAGGACAGGGTTCGAGTTTGAGTTTGCAACCCAAGCTCTTCCAGATGTGGTGGATAGCGACGGATGGAGAACACACAACGCGGGCATAGTAACAATCATGCTATCGTGATAGGTGAGTTGGCGCAGTGACAGCAAAACGTTGACAACCGCGTAGGTGAACGAGACATCTCGCTCTCACGCGCGCGATGTAGGCCTGCGACCCAGTGGGCAATGGCGACGACAACACTTGTACATTGAGCGGCAGCAGATTGTTTGTTCATTCTCTGTCCACGAGGTACTTCCCAAAGGAATGGGAAGTCGCAAAGCCAGCATGTGTGAATGCCGCATGCTGTAATCAAATGATACGGAAAAGGGGCACGGATATGGCCAGGTAAAGGAGTTCGAGTATGACGAGTACGAGTGTGGTATTCATTTTCGAGTAATAGTCTGGGAAAGAGGATGGGAAGGACAGCGAAAGGGAGGACCAGGACTACGACGAGGGGAAGCAGGACGATGATAATGACTAGGACCATTGCTTTGAAGGAGGCGGGATGAAGAACAGAAGCCAGAAGACAAGAGAACACTGAAGAGTAGAAAGTCATGAGGATCTGGGGGGAAGTGATAGTATGCAGCATTGGCGGACGGGAGGCTCACCGCTGCAGCATGTGCAAGTTCATGCGCAGACGCAGCAATACCAGCAAGTGATGCGCAGGCCATTCCTTAAACCACCCGCTGGCGGCGAAAGGCAGTGTGAGCAATGTCTCTAGTGCTAGCGCTACTCATGTTGCCTCTCGGTTCCGTACCCCTTTTTGTCTGAGAAAGTATTGAGTGTCCAATTGCGCTGTCGGGGTCCCAGGATGACAAGCACGGCAACAACGATTCGCGTTAAATCTGTTCATCAGAATTGAGGCAGGACTCGCATCCTCGCTCAAGACGCCCTTGCCATTTACTCCAGGAACGCACTCTTGCCTGGGACTTCCTCGTGGCATGCTCAGAAATCGTGCTCATTGTCTTCCAAGGATTGCGTTTTTTTCCCAGACTCTGACAAGTTATTCACGCGCTGCGTCCTCGCGCGTGGCTACTTTGCAACGGATTTGAGACTTGCATGTTTGCCTGACCCTTCGTGTGACCCCCTAAGAGTATGTTTCAGCATTGTGTTCTCGCCGCTCAAGAATCGCACTCTCGCCTGAGACTTCCTCCCCCCGTAGACGCGCTAACGGCCACGTAGGCGACGGCGATGTAGGTTTCGGCATTGTAGGTGGGACTGGTTCGTGGCCGAACCAATTGCAGGACATGGTGGTTCGTGCTTTCCTACAGTTCCTTGCGCACTGCAATGTATGAGAGTGCGCGTCGTGCGTTCCCACAATTTTGTTCTGCGCGAGCTCGGTGTCACAAAAACCAGATTCCCCACATCGTCGTTGACCAATACCCCCGTCAGCGCGGCCCCGGGGGGTAAATCCACGCGGTGCCCCAGCCCGCCCGACGCGCCCCCTGGCGGTGTGCCCTCCGCCCGCCCGACCTCACTGGCGGGATCCGCACCCCCGTGGTCGAGATGCCGGAGCGCGCTCCCGCGGGCGCGTGGTCGCACGGATGCGTTCCGCGCGGGGCATCCGCGAAGAAGCGCCCCGCATCCGCGGGGTCGCGGCCCAGGGGCCCCGCCCTCGAGGCCGCGGATACACAGATGTGTGTTGCGCCCACGACCGCCTGCTTCGGTGTCCCCTCGCCCGACGTCCACCGGGATCGCAAACGGAGCACGCTCATAGACGAAGGGTGGTGAGGTCTGGATTCTGGGTGCATTTGTTGAGTAGCACGCGGGCGAACAAGCGCTCACAGTATTTCCCGGAAAGTTGTGTCGATGTTGATGTTGCGCGTGCTTTCCTCTGCCTCTTTTTCCCTCCTCCCCACACCCTTCACCCAACAGCCTTCCCTCCCTCAATCATCACAATCCTGCTGCTGCGGGCGCAGCCCCAGCGCATTCTCGTCACCCTCATCTTCCTCTCGGTCTCACTGCCTCCGTCTTATCCTTCTGAGACTCCCTCCTCCGTGTGATGCCTGCGTTGGACTGCGATCAGCGTGCGCTCGCAACAGCGGCCACGGTGGCGGCATCGGCTCCTGTCGCATGCAAAAGAACGAGCGGGCACGGACATGCTGTCCGCTCTGACGTAGAAGGGAACAACTGCATTAAGTAGCACAAACTCTCGGTAGTCCCCGCAGATCCCCGCAGTCTCGAAAGTCTAGGTATGTGTAGACAGTGCTTCTGTATTGACCGAGAAAATGGTTTGAGCCTCCACCTCCGCGTTCGGGCTTGTGTGCACCGTACCGAGTTTTCGTCTTCCGGGGCGTCGTCGAGGTTCGACCCAGGAGAGGTACGGTGCATCGTATTTTGGCCTTCAGCGCCGAACAACTGTGGAAGCCAATGCCAAGATTCACCCTGGTTGCCTCCAGGGTTCCCTGGGTTTCTCGGTGTTCGATGGTTTTGCTATGGGAAGCGTGACGCTCCCACACCAAAAAGCAATGGTCGTCTGGGGGTGTCAGGGTTGGGTTTCTTGTGGAAGGGTTCTTGTGGTCGAGCTCCTACTGTACGGATGCGGCTATGTCCGCCGCTCGTGGTCCTCCTTCTGTCCGTCCTTCTCTCCGCCTCCCCTCCCCTCGCGATCCCCTTGCCTCGTTCCCGGCGACTTCGTACGCCTAAACCGGGCACGTTCTTCTACAGGAGGACAACTCAAAATAGTCACAACATATAATCTGGGGACGATGTTTGTTGGACTACGTTTGACCATGTGTGGGTATTTCTCGATAACTTTAATTCAAAATACCCCTGTAGGAGGACATGCCCGACCAAAGCGTACGCCAGCTAGCCAAGGCGAGGGCAAAGACCCCCCCGTGTCACCGCCCGGGCACGCCTGCATCCGAGCCCGAGCGCCTTCCCGGCGCGCCCGGGGTGCAGCGCCCATGGGGGGGTCACCACCAGGTGCGTCACGAGCTCCTCCTGTCGATCGGGGACCGGGGAGGAGGCGCAGGGATGAATTCGGGAGCCTTGAGACGGGGGTCAGTGCAAACGGGGGTCAGCCAGGACACCAGATCCTGCAGGATCCTGCGAAGATCCCCTCTGGCTGACCCGGGTTAGCGAGCCGCTCGTGGCCGCGAGACGGCCGCGCGTATTGGCTGACCCGGGCTTGCGAAGATCTGCGTTGTTTTTTTCTTCTTGCATTGCAGTGTTTGGCTTATTAAGGACCCCCCCCCCCCTCTCCGGTGAAAGGATAACGCACCCGGCACCCGGAAGCGTTATCCTGGCACCAGGAGGGGGTATCCTTATTCGTATTCGTATTCTTATTATCATTACAATTCTAATTGGGATGCCACCCGAGGCGGGGCGCTGGAATTATTTATTTTCCTTCCATTTGCGCGGTGCTAATAATATCGCTCGGCGAAAACCCCCCCAAATAATTATTTAATTACGGCGCGGTGCTAATGATAACGCCGGGGGGGTCCTTAATTGCTTCTCCGGTCTGGATTGACCCGGGTCAGACGATCCCCGATGAATCGCGCTCCGCGCGTCGCGTCCTGGGCAGGAGAGCTGCCGAGCTCCGAGGCGCGGCCTCGCGAGGGCGCGGAGGCAACTGCGGTGTCGCGCCTGGCGCGCCGCGCTGCTAGGAAGCAGGGCGATGCGAGGAAGCAGGTGGCCTAGAGAGGAGGGGGGGGCTCTAGGTTTATGTTGTTCCTATCCTACTTAAGGACCAACATGCCAGAAATAAGTTCGAGCACCCAGAAAAGTGTCGAAAGAGTTTCGAAAGAGTGTCGAAACAGTGTCGGGCGAGTGTCTCCCAGGGCCCGACACGTGAAAACCCTCGAGTTTCGGTACTTTTTTTTCTGGCGCTCGAAATTCTTTCTGGTGGTGAAGGCTAAAGTAGGTTGGAACATCATAACTCTAGGTCAAAGAGGCTGTGTGGCGTTTGCGGTGGTCAGTCGCAGGGGGTCCCGGGGGCCTCCAGGGAGGTCGCCCTCTCGGGGAAGCTGGCGACCTCCTACAGTCAGCGCGCACAGCAAGGACGCGCGCCTTTTCCAGGGAACCCTGGCGTCCTCGCCACTGCGGCCCGGCCTTTCGCTGGGCGCCCGGCGCCCAAAGTCCCCAACTTCGGCCTCCAAGGGTCTTGCGTCCTTACCACCCAGGGGGCCACATGTGAACCCTACCCCTACCCCCCACGATTTCTGAGGGGAGGGTGGGGTTCACTTCGCTCGGGAGCTCCCGAACGAAGTGAAGCCCACCCTCCCCCTCGGAAATCGTGGGGGGTGGGGGTAGGGCTCACATGTGGCCCCCTACCATGGCCCATGCTTGTGGATGCGTTTTCCCTGTGGTGGTGACCCCCCCTCGGCGCCGCCCGGCTCCTTTTGGAGCGCCCCCGGGGCCGGCGTTAGGTCCCCCCGCGAGCGCGGCGGGCGAGAGGCGCGCTCGCTCTGAGGGCCGCGCCCGCGGGTCTGCCTCGGTGGGCGCGCGGGGGGGGGGGGGGGGAGCCGGAGGCTCCCTCCTCCCTCCTCCGCCCTCCTCCCTCACTCTCCCTCCGCCTCCGCCTCCTCCGCCTCCTCCGCCTCCGCCCTGCTCCTCCGCCCTCCCTCCTCCCTCCTCCGCCCTCCTCCCTCCCTCCCCCCTCCCGCCTCAGCCTCCGCCTCCGTCCCTCTCGCCCTCGCGAGGGGGCCGCGGGCCGCTCTCTTGGGCCGCTGCCCCCCGAGAGGGGTCTCGCCGCGCGTGGGGCGGCGCAGGCGCAGGGCGCCGGGGCGCCCCAGGCGGAGGTCTCCAGGAGTGCGGGGGCCCCCGGTCCCGCCCCGGGGTGTGCCGGGGAGTGCTGCCTCGCTGGCAGCACGTCGGGGCGGTTGGCATGGGCGCGGGAAGCATGGGCACGAAGGCCGGGCTCGCGGTCGGTGTCGCTGCGGACGCTGACCTCTCTCGAGAGAGAAGGCCGCCGGCCAAACAGCGGCCGCTGTTAGTTTTGGGCAGAACTTTGTTTTTGGGGCATTCTACACATTCTTTCCGTACCCTTAAATCGGGCGTGTCCCCCTACAGGGGGAGCTTCGACAAAAAATAGAAGTTGCTCAACACATAGTCCAAAATTCTCAAAATTATCACACAATATATTCCCCTGACTGTTTTTGTAATTATGATTGTTGGGTGTTCCCCTTTTAGAGGGGCAGGCCCGACTTAACCGTACCCATTTCGGGTGTCCAAAGTTCGGGCGCCGGCAGGCAGAAGACTCCGCCGGGGGCGCGTTCCGAAGGAGCGCGCGCCCGGGTGACCCCGTCTACGGGCGTTGCACGGAAACGGGGTCGGGAAGGCGGATGCGGAGGGATGGCCGAGGAGCAAAACATGGTATACACTTAAGTCGGGCCTGTCCTTCTACAGGGGGAAAGTCCAAAAATAGTCAAAGAAGAGTCTGGTGACTATGTTTTGAATATTTTGTGTCCATTTTGGATTTTTTAATTTTTTAAAATTTTCGTCGAACATCCTCCTGTACGGGGACACGCCCGACTTAAGCAGACACATCAACTGTCGGAGCTCCGCCCGGATTTCTTGGATGTGCGCTTGGCCCCCCTGGCGGCGCTTCCGGCGCCGCCCCAGGCGCGCTGCGCGCGCCAGGGAGGGTGGGTCAGCGCAGATTTTAGAAATCCGCGCGGACCGTCGAAAGTTTATCTTTACGCGTGTTCATTTCTTCCAGAGGGAACGGCTAAACGAGACGCCCCAGAGTGGACGGTGAGTTGGGGGTGATTCGTACAAGAGGCGGGGACGAGGAGGGCAAGGGGGGATTGGGGACACCGTCTTGTCTGATTCAGATCTCGGGCCGCATCTCGAGCTACGGTCGGTCGATCGGGGCCCTGTAAGGGGGGCCTTCTCCTTCCTGGAAGACAGTGGCGTCCGTCTGTGCATGAACCTTCCTCGGTTTCGAGAGTATTCTTGTCCTGACAGGAGCCAGCCGCAAGCACACTGGCCAGGGGTTTAAAACACACAAAACAGCCAGCGATGGAGACGCTATTCGACCCACAGCCTCGCTTCGCGAGCGGGATCGTCGTCGTCCGAGTCGCTGGCATAGGGGAAACCGAGAAGGCTTTCCCACAAGGCCAAGTCAGCCTGGGCAACAGGAGGAGGAGAACGTTGAGCGATCGTTCGCGACACGAGGCTGGCCTCGCGGACTGGGGGGCGCATCACCGCCGGAGGCTGCCAGGCGGGTTCGCTGGACCAGACTGGTCTCGCTGGACCTGGGCACCCCCAGCTCTTGGCATCGCTCGGACGTGTGCATTTTTCCTTCGGCGAGGACCATCGAGGAGCATCCTTGATCATTTGGCGAAAAACCACGCACGAAACCGAACAAAAACACAGGGAATGGACGTCCGAGCGATGGCGAGAGCTCGACCTGACGCCCCCTGGCTTGGCCCGAGGCGCCCCAGCAGCCGTCGACATCGAAAGGCCACCTCCTGAACCAGACCTTCTCGCCGGTCTCTCGGGGGTCACTACAGGTGCCCCTGGCCCAAGGTTCCCCAGAGTCTCGCTCTATTTTCGAGCCCCTCGAGCTCCCTGGGCTTCGTGAGAGGGGTGCCCTGGAGGCCGCGGGGGCCTCCTTGGAAGTCCTGGGGGCACCTTGGGCCAGGGGCACTTCGAGCAACATCCCGTTCTCGACACGTGCACCGATCGAGCGGCGCGGGTGCTTCCATAGCGGAACGACCATAACAATTCGGAGGTCCGCGCGGATTTTTTGGGATCGGCGCTGGAGCCCACTAGCGGCGCCTCTGGCGCCGCCCATGGCGCGCTCCGCGCGCCAGGGAGGGATGTCCAACGCCGATCCGAGAAATCCGCGCGGACTCGGCATCCTTCCAGACATCAGAAACTCAAATACGTATGCTCACTGCAGCCACCAACTGTCACTCCTGCACTCCACGGCGTTCCTCCACAACACTGGCAGACGCGCACAGAATGGCCTACACTTTGAAATGATCGACGTGCTAACGCTAAAGGGACGGCCCCATAGTGCCATGCTTCCAACCTCTCAAAGACAGCGTCGGCCCACACAAAGCAAAATCACCCCGAGCAAGCAGCGGTGGTGCACATCCACGGCGAACCTTCCACGCATACCTGGCAGAGCTGCATGCACGTTGGCCCAGCGGGCCACTCGGGCTTTCGCCTGCTGCTGTCGCCCTGCCCGGCGCGAGGGCCTGGCGGACGAGGCCGAGGTGGACAGCGACGCGGAGGTGCATTCCGTCGGCGAGGCGGGCCGCTGCGCTGCCAGCGTCCTCCTCCTCCTCCTCCTCCTTCCTCCTCCCCTCCTCCTCCTCCTCCTCCTCCTCCTCCTCCCCTCCCTCCTCCTCCTCCTCCTCCTCCTCCTCCTCCTCCTCCTCCTCCTTCACCTCCTCCCTCCTCCTCCTCCTCCTCCCCCTCCCTCCTCCTCCTCCTCCTCCTCCTCCTCCTCCTCCTCCTCCTCCTCCTCCTCCTCCTCCTCCTCCTCCTCCTCCTCCTCCTCCTCCTCCTCCTCCTCCTCCTCCTCCTCCTCCTCCTCCTCCTCCTCCTCCTCCTCCTCCTCCTCCTCCACCTCTTTTTGGCAGAAACCAAGCTCGGGGCTCTCAGGCGCGGGGAGGTCGGCGCAAGCGGGGGTCCGTCGGAGCGCCAGATCCTGCAGGAGCGTACAGGGCCAGGGTCCAGGATGAGGGTGGGTGCAGGATCCTGCAGGTGGAGGGTTTCTCCGAAAGGCTTAGGCGACCCGTCCTCCTCCTCCTCCTCCTCCTCCTCCTCCTCCTCCTCCTCCTCCTCCTCCTCCTCCTCCTCCTCCTCCTCCTCCTCCTCCTCCTCCTCTCTCTCTCTCCTCTATCCTCCTCCTCCACCTCCTCCTCCCTCCTCCTCCTCCTCCTCCTTCTCCTCCTCTCTCTCCTCTATCCTCCTCCCCCTCCCCCCCCTCCTCAGCATCATCAACATCATCTTCACCAGCATCAGCATCAGCATTAGCATCACCACCACCACCTCCACCACCACATCATCATCATCATCATCATCATCATCATCATCATCATCATCATCATCATCATCATCATCATCATCATCATCATCATCGTCATCATCATCATCATCATCATCATCATCATCATCATCATCATCATCATCATCATGATCATCTTCGCCATCATCATCAGCATCATCATCAGCATCAGCATCAGCATCATCTATCATTATCACCATCACCAGCAGCAGCATCCTCATCACCATCATCTTACTCATCATACTCATCATTCTCATCATCAGCACCATCATCATCAGCACCATCATCATCAGCACCATCAGCATCATCATCAGCATCATCATCATCATCAGCATCAGCATCAGCATCATCATCATCATCATCATCATCATCATCATCATCATCATCATCATCATCATCATCATCATCGTCATCGTCATCGTCATCGTCATCGTCATCATCATCCCTCCTCCTCGCCCTCCCCCTCCTTCACCTCCTCTTATTCCATCTCCACCTACCCCTCCCCCTCCCCCTCCGTCACCTCCTCCTCCTCCTCCTCCTCCTCCTCCTCCTCTTCCGCCTCCTCCTCCTCCTTCCCCTCCTCCTCCTCCTCCTCCTCGGGTCGCCTACGGCCCCAGGGGAAACAGTGCACCTGCAGGATCTTGCATTGCACGTCCCTCAGCAGCAGAAATCTCCAAATATATTGAAAAAATAGTAGGTGGACGATTGTTCGATTATTTCGATTTGTTCTGAGCATTCCTTGGATATGTTTAATGTTCTTTTGGAATCCGCCTGTAGGAGGACATGCCCGACCTAAATCTTGCAGGATCCTGCAAGGCCCGACTCACCTGGGTCTGGACGGACCCATGCCAGTAGATGGCAGATCCCCGAAACGAGCCCAGGCCGGCGGAGGTCCCTGGGCCTTGAGGGCGAGACGCGAGCACTCCTCGGAGGACTTTTGGGGCAGGTGGGAGGCTCCACCTCGCCCTCCGGAGGGGGCCGCGGGCCGCGGTGGGCTCCTGCCCCTGGCCGAGGGCGGCCCCGGATGCTCCCGGGTCGTCGCTGGTGGGTCAGGCCCAGAGCGCCCGGGGGGGTCCGTCTTGGGACGCTTCTGAAGCTTATTGGGACCCGCTCGGGGCGATCCCGGGGCGATCCTCGGACCCTCTCGGAGCGTCTTGCAGCGTCGGGAAGCGGAACGGGCGCAAAGGCCAGAATTGTTCAAAGACCGATGGGACGCTAATAACTGTGGGTCTCTTCGAGCTCTGTTGCCGGGGGAGAAACGAGCCCTGCTCGCGGGCGGCGAGGCGGGGGGGTGCCCTGTCAGCAGGAGCCGGACAGGGAAGGAGGAGAGAAGTCTCGGGGCCAGGGGGGGGGAGGGAGGGTGGGCGGAAGGGAGGGAGGGCGGGCTAGCAAGGGAGGGTGGGCGCAGGGGCGGAAGGGAGGGAGGGAGGGCTCGTTGGCCCACTCTGTGCCTCCTCGCCCCGCGCCGCGAGGACGAGATGCAGATGGACGGGGAGGAGGACGACCTCATGTACCAGGAGATCGCAAGGGATCCGCCCATGGGCCATGGGCCTTGCAGTGGAGGCCCATGTCAAGACACGCCCTGCTTGCCTCCAGGGTGCCCCTGGGCGTCTTGGGTTCCGATGGTCTTGCGATGGGAAGCGTGACGTTCCCACACCCCGTCAAGAGAGGGATGGGGGGGTGGCCCCATAGTTGCGCGTCGGGGGCATGCCGCTCTGCGGAGGGCCGCGGCGACGCTGCGGCGCCCCGCCAGGAGGACGAGGTGAAGAAGCCGGAGGACGACGACGCTGAAGACCACGCGGTGCCCCAGCTTGGGGGGTGGGGTCAGAGGAGGAAAAGGCACCCATACCTTTACCCTTCGCCCGTTTTCCCTTGTTTGAGCCTCCTGGGAGGCCCTCGTCGCCACCGCTAGATTCGCATCGAAATCCCGGTGAGAACGCACTCCAGGAGAAGTCCGGGGGTTAGCAGTATCGGTACCTTTTTGGTTTCCCCAGGGAGGGGGCTGTTTTTTTGTCCAGCTTCAGGCAAATTCTAGACACTTCGCGTATCCCCACCAGCCCGTCCAGAAACGACGCCCAGGCGAGTAGAGGGTCGTCCTGAGGGGCTTTTCGGCGTCTTGAGTGCCTCGGGGGGGCCTCTGTGGGCCGTTCGGGATCCTCTTTGGGGCCTCCTGGGGGCCTCTTGGGGGCCTCTTGGGGGCATCTTGGGGCCATCTTGGGGCCTTTGGGGGCCTCCTGGGCGCTTCTTGGGGCCATCTTTGCCCCTTGGGTGCCTCTGGGGGGTCTCTTGGGGCCTTTTGGGGGTCTTTTGGGGGCCTCCTGGGGGCCTCTTGGGGGGCCTCTTGGGGCCATCTTGGGGCCATCCTGCGGCCTCTTGGGGCATCCTGGGGGCCTCTTGCGGCCATCGTGGAGGAAATCGATCAAAGAAGAGGGGAGCTCTAATTAGCGCTGCCCCCTCAGAAGGCCAAAATGGTGCCAAAACCATAGTAAAATCAATGATTGAGGCTTCCTCGCCGAGGCCGTTTTGGACGCTCTGACCGCTCCCCGCCCCTCCTGTCCAGGTCAGCGGGGAGGGGGTAGGGGGAGGGGTAAACCCCTCCCCGAAGGGGAAGAGGGAGGGGTGGAAGAGGAAACGCCCTAAACCACCGACGCCCAGAGGGCTGGTGGGATTCCGACTCCGCCAGTTGACCTATATGTTCAGCCATTATAGGTTCCCCATCCTCCTCCTTCATGATCTGGGTGGGTACGTAACCTTTCCGCCCAGGCTGCGATGCCGCCGTCTCCGTTTCTGCAGGCAGTTGTTTGAGTTAACGTGAGTGAGACTGGTCGTTATCAGTTCTACATGCTGTGCTGAGCCGCTTTGAATGGTAGATGATCGTTGAACCACCTGCTGTACGGAGACAGGCTATGAGAAATGATCGATGAGGCGCCCGCCTTTCCGCTCCTCTCCCCTCCTGGCGGTCCTCTCACCTCTCCTGAAATCTTCGGCGGTTTGTGCCGTGATGACCTGCTGTGCAGCCTTTTTCGCTTTTGCTTTTTCGCTCCCTGGGGTCTGAGCCCGAGCTGAACTCAGTTCTGCACGGCTCGACTCAACTGAACTCAGCGCCAGTCTCAGCGACGAGCAGCGAGTCTTGCGATCACGTCTGCGCCTCTGCAGCCCATTGTTTCCCTAGGTTTTTCGCGCTCGGCGCAGTCTTTTGCATCATCCCTCTTCGGCGCAGTAAATATGCTTTTGTGTGCGTTTATTGCGTGCTTATGTATCGCACTGTCCTTCCTTCGCGTCGCGCGACGGATGGAGCATTGGAAAAAAATGAACGCTTCCGATTAAGCGGCGGCCTTGCCGCAATCTCTTGCAACAGCAGTCGCATCCGACGCTTGTCGTAGCTTGCTTCGGACAGTATAGATGGCAATTGAGGCGTCGAGTAAGGGAGTGCTCAGGAAAAATACCGTGTTTCTCGGAACAACCATGTGATCAGGCTGATAAGGGGAAAGGGGAGAAGGAATCTCATAGTAGGCATACACGGATGATGACGATTGAGAGGATGATGATGATGATGATGATGAGGAGGAGGAGGAGGAAAAGGAAGAGGATGAGAAGGCGGACGAGGAGAATGAGGAGGAGGAGGAGGAGGAGGAGGAAAAGGAGGAGAAGGCGGAAGATAATTGGCGGCCTTGCCGCAATCTCCTGCAACAGCAGTCGCATCCGACGCTTTTTGTAGCTTGCTTCGGACAGTATAGATGGCAATTGAGGCGTCGAGTAAGGGAGCGGTCAGGAAGAATCACATGTTCTCCGGGACAATCATGTGATCCGGCGGATAAAGAGAATGGGGGGCAAGAGTATCATAGTAGGCAGACACGGATGACGATGATGATGGTGATGATGATGATGGCGATGATGATGATGATGATGATGGAGAGGATGATGATGATGATGATGAGGAGGAGGAGGAGGAGGAGGAGGAAAGGGAAGAGGATGAGAAGGCGGACGAGGAGGAGGAGGAGGAGGAGGAGGAGGAGGAGGAGGAGGAGGAGGTGGAGGCGGAGGCGGAGGCGGAGGAGGAGGAAGAGAAGGATGAGCAAAACACATGAAAAATATTAGAGCCTCCTAGGATCTCTTTTCGGAGTAGTCTTGGAAGTCTCTTGAGACCTATGGGGAGCTTTCCAATTGCCCCAGGGAGACTCTTGAGGTTTCTTGGGGATATCTTGGGAAGCTGTTTTGGGAGGCTTGGGCTCCTCTTGGGCCCGTCCGGGCGCCCTTGGAGCCCCTGCTGGGGCGCTCTCGGGGCAATTTTGGAGGACATCGGCCAAGGAAGTGGGGCTCCCTAGTTACAGCCCCCCCCCCCCCAGGAACCCCAAAAATAGTTTCCTGGACCTCTCTTGGAGCGCTCGCGGCCGCTCTTGGAGCCATCCTGAGGCTCTCTTGGGCCCCTCTTGGAGCTATCTTGAGCCATATTGGAGCCATCTTGACGCGTCGGATATGCATCGCAATCGGAAAAGTGAGAACACCAAAAACACTGATATCCCCCAGGGTTTTGAAGCATGTTGGCCTCTTGGACGCATCCTAATGATGCTCTTGTGGGCACTTGGAACCGTCTTGGGGAGTTCTTGTAGCGTCTTGGAACATCATGAGGACCATATTGAGGCACCTTGCGCTATCTTGAGCCATCTTGGAGGTCATCTTGAGTTCCCTGAGGCACTATTGGAGCCGTGTTGGGCCGTCTTGGACGTTCTAACTACCCGCGGCCCCCCCCTGTCCAGGTCAGCGGTGAGGGGGTCGGGGGAGGGGTAAACCCCTCCCCGAAGGGGAAGAGAGAGGGGTGGAAGAGGAAACGCTCTAAACCACCGACGCCCAGAGGGCTGGTGGGATTCACTTGCATGGCATTCTCCCCCTCCCGCCCCCCCTTCCGCCGCTTCGTCCAACGGCGTTGGGCCGAAAAGGCGTGCAAGTAAGTCTCGACTTGCGTGAAGTCCAGATGTCCTGTCGGGCCTCACCGCGCCCCTTCCCCTCCATGAAAGGAAGTTGCCAGAGTCTACTGAAGAGCTGCCTCGGGAGCGAGTCGAAGCCCGCGGGAAGAGGCGGAGGAGAGGACGCCCAGGAGGGTGTCGGCAGGCTTGGAGACAGTTGGGAGCTCGCTTCGGCACGGCTCGAGGGTCCTTCCGAGGAGCACACGAGGTGCCCTGGGGATGTTCCGAGACCCGCCGGGGGCTTCATCGGGGCGCAGATACAGCCAAACTGCATCGCAACGACGACCGGATTTCCAATGTTACCTTGGCATCCTTCCCTTTCGGCCCATCCTTGGCCGCTCTCGCTGGCCCCGCCGTCTCGGGCTCTGTCAGCACCGTCGGCGCCCCGTGCGCCCCGGCACCAACCGCAATCTTGCGTCCGCAGCGTGGGGCCCCTAATTTGTATGGGCTGGCTGGACCCGTCGGCCGTTGAAAGTAACTATCTCTTCACAGGGCTGGACCTGGACACTGTGCTGCTGGACTTCGGCTGTGGTTTGTTTACTCGTTTCGGCAGGGAGGCCCAGAAAAACGGGCAGAGCAAAACGAGACACAGGACGACAACAAAACGAAGAACACAACGTTTATGTCCAGCCCTGTCCCTGGACATCCGAGCCAGAACCTACTTTAGGTTTATGATGTTCCATCCTACTGTAGGCTGGATCGCCAGCAAAGATTTCGAGCGCCAAGGAAATACCGAAACTGGAGGGTTTTCGCGTGTCGGACCCTGGGAGGCGATGCTCGTTCGACACTGTTTCGATACGGTTCCGGGTGCTCGAAATTAGTTCTGGGATGTGATCCTTTAGTACGATGGAAAGCACATAGGTTTAAGTCGGGCCTGTCCCTCTGCAGGGGGAATACTCCAACATAGCCAAAACAAAGCCTTGGGAATCTTTGTTGAGTATCTTCGGGCATATTCTGAGGATTCTTTGACTGCTTTGATTTCTCTCTCCCTCTACAGGGGGAGTGTTCAAAAATAGTCAAACATCGCCTGGGGATGATTGGTTGACTATCGTTGGGCATCTTCTGAGTATGATTGGACTGTTTTGATTTCTCTCCGAAGCCCCCTCTGTATGGGGGGCAGGCCCGACCTGAGCTTAGGAACCTCCCCGCTTCCAGAGTCGAGCGGCGTCCCCTCTGCCCCCCTCTCTCCAGGGGATCGGCGGAGGCCCGATCTATACTTCCAGCACCTGCCTACCTCGTACCCAAAACGCTTATTGTTATTCGCCTTATTAGTATGCTTTTTATTTTCCTTATTCTTCTTCTTATTATTATTTTTCTTCTGGTGATATTCTTCTTCTTCTTCTTCTTCTTCTTTTTCTTCTTCTCTTGATGACCGTTTTTTTCATTCACTGTTTTGCTGATCGGCGCGGGCCCTCGCAGCCCCCCCTTCCCCACCCCGCCACCCTTGAGTAGATCTTGGCCGTTTTCGGCGCCTGTTTCAAGCAGGTGGAACCTCCCCCATGATGGACGCACTGCTGCAAACAGCCGCACTAAGCAGAGGTCCTGAGCGACTCAATGTCGAAACGCCGGGAAAAAACGCTCACCTGCGCCCTTTTTATGACGCTGCATGATCAAATTCATGGGAAGGACTGTATCAGTGGAGCCAATAGCACATATTGCGAGATCGTAAGGTAACCAGGTGGCCCCCGACGAGCTCTTAGAGGGCCGCCCCCAGGGCGTACATCGGCATCAGTCCAGTCCAGTCCTACTTCATGTGTCTACCTACTCCTGCCGACCGACGGGCAACCGCAGAAGGCATTTGCCACCGAACGCTTCCACTCCTCACAAAGTGCCTACTCGCAAACGTCCGAAAAAAACATGTGTCTGTATCGATGTGATGTATATGTACATATACTTGTAGATGTATACGTATATATGTAATAAAACTGTAGAGCTCGTAAATCTCTCCCCCCCGCGGCGGATCCAGGCTTATTTTGCGAGTAGTCACTGTGCGAGTTGTGGGACGCGCGGGTCTACTCGGTGCAGCGCCACCGTGTTTGGCCAGGGCCCTGCTTGGGCCCACGGGGTGGTGACGATGGCCTCATGCGCGGCAGATCAGGGCCCAGGAGGGCCCCCCAGTAGTGGTCTGGAGCAGAGAAAAAGACAAGTTTTCGACGGTCAGCGCGGATCTCTTGGGTCCGGAATTTGGTCGCGACCGATCGCGAACGATGCTGCAGCACACGGGTTGCGACCGGTTCCAGAATCGGGAGCAGCGTCTTCGGCAGCTCGCCGCGACGGCCGCGACCAGGCAGGTCCGGCATCCGGCGCTGCGGGCCCGGGCGCCGTGGCAGATGGATGATCCACGCCGCAGAGAGATGCGCGCCGGGGCTCCAGCCGTGCCCTCTGCTCGGTGTCGTGCTCTGGTGCGTGGCGTGGGCTCTCGGGGTCCTCGCGCCGCGCCGGAGCCGCGCCGGAGGGCTCGGGTGCATTTTTCGGCCCGCCCGGGACCTTTGCCAGGGCCTCTCGAAGAAGAGCAGCGGCGTGCACTTCAACTTTTGTAGCTCCGCGCGGATCGCTTGGATCTGCGCTGGGGCCCTCTGGCGGCGCCTCCGGCGCCGCCCCTGGCGCGCTCCGCACGCCAGAGAGGGGGATCCAGCGCAGATCCAAGAAGTCCGCGCTGAGCGCCAAAAGTGTATGTTTATGGCTTTTTTTCTTTCTCCAGCCCCAAGACCGTCAAGAAACGGATCGGGGAGAGAAACAGGTTCCAGGGAAGGGGTCCAAACCACGTGGTGAAAATTCACGATGTCGGAGAGTTGGGAAGGGGTCCTGGAGGGAAAAGAGCTTTCGAGGTGGGATACATATACCTACACCGCTACTTACGCATCCTTCGCTGTCACGGCAGGATTCGCTTCGGAGCGCAGCCCGCGACAGACCTGGGCAGCAGCGGTGTCGGCACTGTTTTTTTCCTAGACGGGTCTCGGAGGTTTTCCATCTTTTCAAGTTCCTGGGGCCTTCCCGGGGCCAGGAGACAGTCACCAAACTATCCGTGGGAGTTCGTAGATGGAGGGTTCTCCCAAGGTGGGGCTGGGGAACGGCTCCAGCCGGATGCCCTCGTTCAACGCGCTTGCTTGTTCCAGGAGCCGTCCAGAGCGATTTTCCTTCCAACCCTACAGGGTCCGGCTTGAATAAGGAGCACTTGCTTTTCAAGAGGAGCTCGGCCGCTCCTTTGGCTTGCACGCATTCCGCTGCCTGTTTGACGGCGAGCCTCCTTGTTGCTCCTTCGGACCAAAAGGGGCTTCGTTCCTTACTGTCGGTGCCGCAGGTCCGGCCGAGTCCTGCACCTTGGCCTCTGCCCCACCTTTGTCTTGGCATCGCTCGGACGTGTGCACTTCTTCTCGGCGAGAGCCACCGAGGACCACCCTGGACCATCAAGCAAGCGAAAACCACGCACGAAGCCGACAAATGCACGGGAAATGGACGTCCGAGCGGCGGCAAGCTGTGCCCCCCCCATAGTCCGGGGGGAGCAGCTTGGGAAGGGACAAATAGAGTGGCAAGGACACGCCGCCGCTCTGGGAGCCCGTGCGCGTGTCGCGGGCCTTCGCTCTCGTTCGCAAGGCCAGTGTACATACATTTCTATATATATATATATATATACACATATATATACACATATATATATATATATGTGTACACCACCACCACCTCCCTCACCCCTTCCCCTTCCCAGGAGAGGAGGACTCGACGTGGTGGGGTGATGTGTACAGTCTTGGTGCCCGCACTTCTCCAGGAGTAACAAGCTGATGGGCTCATCACGGCAGCGTGGCATTCCCTTTGTGCTGCTCCCCCCGGGGAGCGGTCCCGGGGGAAAGCCCCAGGACCCAGGACCCGCTGCCCTCAGGACACAGCTTCTTCTTCCAATCTGCGCACCTGGGCGTCGCGCAATTCGCTGGGGGGGGGGGGGGGGGCGACGCATGCGGGGGGCAGCGGGGGCTGCAGAAAAAGGAGCCCTCCAGGGCTCCCCTAGAGGGGCCCTGCGGGCCCCAAAGGGGTCCTTGTAGGGTCCGAGAAGTGCACCTTTCTCCCCCCCCCTCTGTGATCGCCCCCCCAACAAGCGACGCCCAACGCAACTCCTGAAGCGAGCTGCCCTCCTGCTGCACCCGCCTCGTGCTCCTCCCCGTCGGCGCCCTCCTCGGCCTCCTTCCCGGCCCTGTCCTGTCCTGGCACCTGCGCCTCGCCCAGAGCTCCCCCGGAAGGGCCGCCGCGGTCGTCCCCCAAGAAGTTGCCTCCGTGAGGCCGCGTGCGACGGCCCAGCTACGGCCACCAGGGCGTCTCTGGGTGTCTCCCCTTTCGGAGGGGCTTGCGCGGGCGAGGCTTGCATCCACTCCATTGCGTCCCGACACGCAGTGGATATGGATAGCCTCTAGCGGGGCCAGGTGTTACATTCACTGCGTCGCAATTGTTCGGCATCCCTTCCCCCAAAGTCGAAGACGCGGTGGCTATGGACAGTCTTGCCCGCAGCTTGTCCGGGCTCCAGGAATTTTATGGCACGCGTCTGAGGCGATGGGATTCGGCGCGGGCGCACCAGACGGCGGAGTCGACACCGTGCACAGCGTGCAGAGGTGACGTGTTTTTTGAAGGTTGTGTTGTTCATCACGTCTAACAGAACGCGGAACAAGCAAGCTCCTCACGGAGCATGTTCGCGCGGAGCGGGCAGGATAGTATTGTCGGCCCCGATGAGTAGGTCGACCTTGCCAAAGGAAGGGTGCTTTTGTGTCCTGTGCATCGCGCCGAGTCGGAAGAATCATGTGTCTTGGGCCATGTTGCCATCGGAAGAGTCTCGTGTCCTGTCGCGTTTCCTGGGCGATCAGTTCTGCTTGTATTTAGCACCAACTGCCCGCAAGACGAGACACGAGCGCAGCAGCAGCTTCGGCTCCGTAGCCATCTTGGCTCAGGCACTTTGAGGCTTGGGCCGTTGGCCACGGGAGCCCGGCCGCGGAGCGTCTCTCGCTGGCACCGAGCGGGAGCCGAAGCATCAGCGGCACCGTACCGGGCAACTACCAGGTAACGGGTATTTTGGAGATTTGCCAAAAGCTGGCAGTTTTGGGCCCTCATCGGGGAGGGTTGGGTTCGCCAGGTCACTGGCCAGAGTACCCGTTAGTGGAGTCCCCGTTAGAGTGGCGTTGAAAGAAGAGCAAGTCGCGCAAACACACATTTTCGAAGCGCCGCGCGCAGTAGTTGGTCTGGCGCCAAGCCTCCCTGGCGGCGCCTCTGGCATCGCCCCTGGCGCGCTCCGCGCGCCTCGGAAGGGGGTTCCAACATTCCAGCGCCGAGCCCAGAAATATTCGCAAGCACCCTCCAATAGATGGTTTCCAGTCCTCAGGACGTGGTGGCGGTGTATAAATCACCACTGAGAGCCAGCGATGTTGTTGTTTCCCGGCGGCCTTCCCTGAAGGTACATGCAAAGTTCGTCGGAGGGTGTCTGTGTATATATACAGATTCTGTAGATCAGCGATATATACATCTATCCCTGGGCACCTATATACATAGATCTCTATATATATACATACATATGCACATACACTCGTGGCGTGAAAGAGCTCCGAAAGTTTATGGTGCTTGCGCTTGTCTCTTCTCCCAGGGGAGGCTGGAGGCCACCCTCGGCTCCGCACATGCAGACGTGCTGCTCGTGCCCCCTCCTGAAGTTCGAGGGCGAGGTCCCTGTGCTCTGCGAGGAGGGCCTGGCGCTGATAGAGAGGCTGCCGGGGCCCGTCTGCCCCATCTCGTTCGTGGGCGACGGCCGCAGCGGCAAGTCGTACCTGGCCTCGAAGGTGGCCGGAGAGGGCACCTTCAAGGAGGACGACTCCGACGTGGCGGTGACCGAGGGGATCGACGTCGCCGTCGTCGCCAGCCACCCGGGTCACCTCGTGGTGCTGGATTGCGAGGGCGGCAACAACGCGCTGTCGAAGAGCCACTCGATCGTGACCGTGGTCGGAGCTCTCATCGCCACGGCCCTCGTCTTCGTCACGGACGGCAAGGCGTCGGAGGCCGCCGTGGAGGCGCTTGCCCACATGCTGACGGAGCGCTCCCTCATCAAATGCGACGGCACGGGGTCCTTGCACGCACAGCACCTCTTCTTCGTGGTCAACCAGAACAGGCTGCGCTACGGCGAGGACGGCCTCGAGAAGATACTGACGGCCGACAAGGGAGACGAGGCCGCGGATCTGAGGTCCCTCATCGGCAACACGTACCCCGAGAACCGGCGCCACTTCCACACGATCCCCGCGGACGTGAAGAGCGACTTCACGGAGAAGTGGGAGGCGCTGAATGATGCGATTCGAGAATCCCTCACACCGCTCAAGATGGGCAAGCTGTGGATGACGGGAGCTCAGACGGTGCAGATGCTCCGGCAGATGGAGAAGCTGCTGAGGAAGCACGGCAAGGTCAGCCTTCCATCGCTGCACCGGGGCGTCATCCTGGACGGCTGGCTGAAGCCCACCATGGGGCAGGTCCTCTCCTCCCGTATGGACAAGCTCCTCGAGGAGTTCACCGAGGAGGAGCTCGCCACACAGAGGGTGGGCAGCGTGAGGGCCGACTGCAAGGAGTGTGACGCCAAGGCTGCGGTAGGGTGGCTCGACCCCGACGTGGAGGATTTCTTCTGTGAGGCCTGCTGGAAGACGTTCTCGCCGAAGGTCCTCAAGTGCGGCTTCTGCAACGGTTTCCAGCCGTGGCCCCGGGGCCGAGTGGAGACGGTAACCAAGATGTGGCATTGCCTGGACTGTTTGATGCAGCTGGGCATCGACTGCTCCGACAACTCCTGACAGGGTGTGCGCAGACGCTCTTCTCCATGCAGGGATGCACGTTTTCTCCACGCAGGCGACGAGAGAAAGAGCAGGAATGCAGCGCCAGAGCCCGACGTTGACTCTGAAGCGAAGGGCGAGCGCCCCGATGGGCAGCGAGAGCTCGAGCTCGACGAGAGTCTCGTGGCGGCAGTGCCTGGCCCCGACGGGACCTCCCACGGCCAAGGCAACCTCGGGCTGCCCCGTCGCGGGCGGCAGCCCCCTCAGGGACGTGCCTGGCCCCCCCCCCCCTTTCCAGAGCGCCCCTGCGCCCCCCCCTCCGACACCCTCGCCCATCCAGCTGCTCCCCCATCATCCCTCCCACCCGTCCACCCCCCTGCCCCTTCCCTCCTCCGACACCCTTCCCCCTCCCTCGGGCCCTGTGTGTGTGTGTGTGTGAACGGAGGCATGATTGTGGCGTCCAAGCGTCCACTCTCGAATGGTCCTGTTCAGGACACCGCGTGTCCATGCTTGGGCGGCGGGCACGCAGAACCGAGTGCAATTGGCAGCCGTCGACGCGAAGGGTTCGGGCTCGCTGGTGTCCCTCGTCACCCTTCCGATGCTGCGCCTCTGTCCGAGATCCTAAGGTGGTTGAGTGGCGCAGTCCAGTTGACTCGATATCCTAGTATCGCTCAGTGTCTTCATCGAGCAGGGCCCCAGAGAAATCACTGGGTCACCAGACCCTCTGCCACTGGGCATTTGCGGTGATCTGTGCAGGGGCTGGCCCACCGCAGTTCAGCTGTTCCGCCTTGGGCGGCGCTCATTGTCTCCCGCGTCTTGCGCCCGCCTTCTGCCAGCCCCCCGCCAGGTCTTGGAGTCGAAAATCGACCCCAAGGAGTGGCTGCTAGAGGCGATCTGCTTTCGCCGCCTGGCACTGCCGAGTTCAGACGCAGTGGGGGAGGAGGACGAGAAGGAGGATGAGGAGGAGGAGAAGGAGGAGGAGGAGGAGGAGGAGGAGGAGGAGGAGGAAGGGGAGGTGGAGGAGGAGGAACAGGAGGAGGAGGAGGAGGAGGATGAGGAGGAGGAGGTGTAGGAGGAGGAGGAGGAGCAAGGACGAGCCAGCCAATGATGATGAAAGCTGCCTCCTTGTATTCTAGCGCGGCGTTCCAGCCGCTCTCCAGCCGCAGCTCGGCCCGTCTGCGGATGGCAAGTTAGAGGCTGGTGGGATTATGCCCGCTAAGTTTACAGGAGGAGGAGGAGGACGACGACGACGAAAACGAGGAGAACGAGGAGGGAGGAGTGAATAGGAGGAGGGACAGGAGGAGGAGAAGAAGGGGCGGATGTGGGTGGAGGAGGAGGGAACTGTAAGGAGGTGGAATAATGTAGTGTATTGCAGATGCCTATGGGTAGGCGTACTCCTGAGCTCTCCCAGCCTTGCAGCGGCGCTCGTGAAGGTTGGGAGGGCAAGCCCCCTGGTGCCAGAGAACTGATCGAGGAGAGGGAGGAGTAGGACGAAGACGAGGAGCAGCAGCAGCAGCAGCGAGGGCAGCAGCAGCCGCAGCAGGCGGGAAGGTCCGTCTTGCCGCCCTCCTCCTCCCCCGTCTCCCCTCATTGCTCGTCCCTCCCGTCGCCCTTCTGAGCACGTGCCTCGCTGCTCCACTGCAGGAGCCCGCCACCTGCAGAGACGCACGGGCCACGGTGGCCTCGCGCCGTCCCAGGCACGAGCGCGCTCTCCTGGCCCGCGCGTGCTGGCTGGCCGTCGGCGCGTCCTGAGGCCGAGCCTGGCGCGCCGCGGCCGAGGCCGACGCCGCTGCTGCCCAGCCGCCGCGCCCCGCCGCGCCGGCTGCCGGACATCCGACGGCGTGGCTGCTGCAGTGGACCCCCCGGAGGCCCCCGACCACGTGGAGCCAGTGCTCTGCCCAGAGGTACAGTCGGGGCCCTGAAGAAAGAACCCTTTTCGTTGGGGAGGGGCTCCGTGTTCCTGAATTGCTTCGCAGCTTGCCTCAGGTTTTCCTTATGTCTTCGACAGGAAATCGAAGGTTAACTTATGGAAAAAAGGGGCCTCGTTCCTTATTTAGGGCTCCTTAGGTCAACGCCCCGACCGTACTGTTGGCCAGCCCGACTGCACGGAGGAGAGCGGGGGCGCGGCGAGGCCCGAGAGGGAGTCTGGGCTGCACGCCCACGTCGAGCGTCGCCGGCGCGTGCATCCGGCCCAGCGCTCTCGGGGGCGGGGGGGGGCGAAGGGGGGGGGGGAGAGCGAAGGGGGGGGGGGGGGGCGAAGGGGGGGGGGAGAAGGGGGGGGGGGGCTGCCGCGCAGGCAGGCCAGGCTGCGTGTCGAGAAGGGCAGCCTCAGTGGCCCCCGCGGCCCCGACCCCTTTGCCAGGGTTAGCGTCTCGCCCAGGACCTCTTTCTGATGGTCCCGGGGCTCGAAGAGAGCGGGCCTCAGAAGCCGACACCCAGGAGAATGGGGAGCGGAAAAGAGGGGGGTGATGACTAGGGGGGGGGTGGATATCATGGCGGGGGCCATGATATTTCCCCAGATTTCATGGCGCCTCTTCTTATTTCATTACACCCCTGCCCCTCCCGCTGGGCCGCGCACATGCCGCCGGTCATTATTTGCACCCCCCCCTCTTGGACACCCCCCTTTTGGCCGCTCCCGAGAGAAGTGCCCCCTAGCCACAAAGGAAAGGAGCCGATCGTCGAAGACCTGGGCTCCCGATCTGTCCCTCGGCAGTTTTGCGCCCCGGATCCCTTCCTGATAGTCGGGGGTCTCGAAGAAAGCGGGCCTCAGAAGCCGAAGCCCGGGAGGAGTGCCCGGAGCCACAACACAAGTCGCTGAAGACTTGGGCTCCCAATCGGAGGAGGAGGATGAGGCGGAGGAGGAGGAGGAGGAGGAGAAGAAGGAGGAGCAGGGGGACGAGGCGGAGGAGGAGGAGGAGGAGGGGGAGGAGGAGGGGGAGGGGGAGGCGAGGAGAACGCGACGAGGAGGAGGAGGAGGAGGAGGAGGAGGAGGAGGAGGAGGAGGAGCGATCTGTTCCTCGGGGCGCGCTTGCTCTCAGATCGAGCGCGTGGCGCCGAAGCTGAAGATCCAGATGCCCAACGACGCCAAGGAGCGGCCCTGCGGCCGCCCACCTCTCCTGGCCCCCTTCGCGGGGCAGGCGGCCACCTGCCTGCAGCAACTGCTCCTCCCTCGCTCCGTCCCGTTTCTCCCCCCCGTCCCTCTCCGCCCTCGTTGCGTCCTCGCGCCTTCCTCCCTCGTCATCTCCTCCTCCTCGCCTCCTCCTCCTCCTCCTCCTGCTTTCCCCGTCCTACTCCAGTATCATTCATGCGTTCCCTTCCGCCGCCTCCCACGTTGTCCGTCTGGTGTTTTGGCTCCCTCTCTCGCTCCCATCCCTCCACTCCCTCCTTTTCTTGTTATGTATATTTCTTTGTTGTTGTTCTCTCTCTCTCTCTCTCTCTTCTTTCTTTCTCTCTCTCTCTCTTTCTCCTCCTCTCTCCAATTCACTCTCTCTATCTCTTTCTCCCCATGTGTGTGTGTGTGTGCGTGTGCGTGTGCTTTTGCGTGTGCGTGTGCGTGTGCGTGTGTTTGTGCGTGTGCGTGTGTGTGTGCGTGTGTGTGTGTGAATGTGTGTGTGTGTGTGTGTGTGTGCGTGCGTGCGTGCGTGCGTGCGTGCGTGCGTGCGTGAAGTGTGTGTGTGTGTGTGTGTGTGTGTGTGTGTGTGTGTGTGTGTGTGTGTGTGTGTGTGTGTGTGTGTGTGTGTGTGTGTGTGTGTGTGTGTGTGTGTGTGTGTGTGTGTGTGTGTGTGTGTGTGTGTGTGCGTGTGTGTGCGTGCGTGCGTGCGTGCGTGCGTGCGTGCGTGGTGCGTGCGTGCGTGCGTGCGTGCGTGCGGCGTGCGTGCGTGCGTGCGTGCGTGCGTGCGTGCGTGCGTGCGTGAGTGAAGTGTAAGTGTGTGTGTGTTGTGTGTGCGTGAAGTGCGTGCGTGCGCGTGCGTGCGTGCGCGCGTGCGTGCGCGCGCGTGCGTGCGTGCGTGCGTGACGTGCGTGCGTGAAGTGCGTGCGTGCGTGCAGTCCGTGCGTGAAGTGCGTGCGTGCATGCGTGCGTGCGTGCGTGCGTGCATGCGTGCGTGCGTGCGTGCGTGCATGTGCGCGTGCGTGCATGCGTGCGTGTGTGCGTGTGCGCGTGTGCGCGTGTGCGTGCGTGCGTGCGTGCGTGTGTGCGTGTGTGCGTGTGTACGCGTGTGCGTGTGCGTGCGCGTGCGCGTGAGCGTGCGTGTGTGCGTGTGCGTGTGTGTGTGTGTGTGCATGTGTGTATGTGCGTGTGCGTGTAAGTGTACGTGTAAGAGTAAGTGCAAGCGTAAGTGTGCGCGAGCGCGTGCGCGTGCGCGTGCGCGTGCGCGTGCGCTGTGTGCGTGTTTGTGCGTGTGCGTATTCGTGTGCGTGTGCGTGTGCGCGTGCGTGTGTGTGTGTGTGATTGTGTGTGATTGTGTTGATTGTGTGTGATTGTGGATGGTTGTGTGTTATATGTGTGATTGTCTGTCGTTTGGCGCGCGCGCGGGCGGGCGCGGCAGGCGGGCGGGGGGGGCGGGCGGGCGGTCGGGTGGGCGGGGGGCAGGGCGGGCGGGCGGGCGGGCGCGCGGCGCGGGTGGGCGCGCGCGGGTGGGTGGGCGTGCGGGCGGGCGGATGTGTTTGTGTTCGTGTGCGTGTGCGTGTGCGTGTGTGTGTGTGTGTGTGTGTGTGGATGTGTGTGTGGATGTGTGTGTGTGGGTGTGTGGGTGTGCATGTGTGTGTGCATATGTGGTGTGTGTGTGGGTGTGGGTGTGGATGTGTGTGTGTGTGTGTCTGTCTGCGGTCTCTCGGGTCACCTGCCTGCTGCACGCTGCAGTGGAGCCCACCTCGTGCGTGCGCACATCCCGCTCCTGAGGCCGACCGTCCGTGTCTCATCTCTTCCTGTCTTTCTCATAGGTTCTCGCGCTCGTGCTCCGCTGGTCGTCGACGGCGGCGGACGGCGGTGAAAGAGGACGGCAGGGCGAGCAGACTGGAGGTTGCGAAAGTGGCTGGAGGCGCCACCCCAGTGCCTGCCCGTCCTGATGTGTGATCGCACGTGCGTGCTTCTCAGCAGAGTCCAGCAGGGTCCTCGTGCTCGTGCGCGGCCGATGAGGGCAGAGGCGAAGGCAGCGGGATCGGAGCCGCCGATTCTGGTAGCCGGGAGTTTCGCTCTGCTTCTTGTTGGCAGCGGCTTACGTTGGCATCGCCTTCAGGATAATGGGTTGGCAACCCGTAATTATTTACCGTTATATTTCCACATCTTGTTTGACGATGCCAGCAGGCCGTTGACCTTGTCATCATATGATCTACCCCTGTGTACAAGTTACAAGCAAGATTACCTCGTTAAGCTGAGCCATCTTGCTCGGTGTAAACAACTGATGCCCGAACATGTTTGTTCAGAGGGCCCCCTCGAGGTATCTAGAACAAGGACATAGTCATATCTAAGGTGGATCTTCATTGGCAATCAATGGAAGTCCGCGCCGACATCCGATTGATTTCTGATGGGCCCGATTACATCTTGCTAGTCGCCCTCCTGCTGTAACCTGGGGCGCTCCAGGGCTAGGAGGGGGCCGCACAGGGGAGGAACACACTACATGCAGCAGGCACATCCACAGTTCTTCCTCCCGCTTCGACCACTGACCCCTTGCTGCCGCCCGTGCTTCTCTGGGCTGCCCCCGGCAGCCAGGGGCAGAATCAGGGTCGCAGCAATAATGGAGAGGCCCCCCTGCCACCGCAGAGAGCTTCCCTGAGCCGCCCGCTGCGCCCCACTGCCCGTACCCATCCCTGACCCCCCCCCCTTCCCGAGCTTTCCTTTCCCCCACCCTGCCCCACATCTCTCACATGCCCCCCAACGAACTCCAGGCCTCCCACGTGGGGCCCAAGCGGGTGGGGTCGCAGGATCGCGCCGCACCGCCGATGCGGCACGATCCGGTGCGCGATGGCTCTCCGTGACGTCGTGGATGCATCGGCGATACGGCGCGGCCTTCAGAGCCCCTGCGCATTCTGGCCCCGACTCGGGAGGCCTCTGCGCTGACCTTCTCGGCGAGCGCGCGGCTGTGGACTGGTCGGGTGGCCGCGCCCTCTTCTTCTGCCCCCGCCCTCCCCCTACACTTAAACCCGCATGGTGAGGACGGGCAATGTTCCCAAGGTTGCCCTTGCATCCTTCCCTTTCGGCCCCTCCCTGGCCGCTCTCGCCGGCCCCGCCCCGCCCGCGAGGGTTTACCGTGGCCGTCCATGGCCCCTTACATCCTTGCCGAGCGCCCTTGTGAGACGGGTCGACTGTCTATACGACCCGCGCGAGGCCGAGCTCACAGGCAAAGTCCCGCCCGGGAGGCCCCCGCTGCGCCACCCCCCTTCGGCTGCACGCAAGTCAGGAGGGGAAAAACACACACAGACACAATTAATCGTCGATCCCCAGGAAAATGTGGGAAAATATAGGAAGCGGGGGGGAAGACAGAGACCTAGAAAATATGGGAAAATATGGTGAGTATTTTTATTTGTGTGTATTTATGTGTGTGTCCTGGGGCCCCTTTCAGCAAGAGCGACCCTTCGCCGGAGTAACCTCGAGTGCGGGCCCGCGGGGTGTCCGCCGATCGCCGAAGGCGCTGCGGTGGTACCGTCTCGCGCGCCCGCGTCTGGTCCCCCCCGCGGCCCCCCCAAACGCCGCGCATGAGAGAGGTCACTCTTTTGCCCAGGGTCACCCCTGCGTGTAGACGATGGGGGGGGCAGCGAGGGCCGCAAACTGAGGGCCCTTTCGGGCCCCTGAGATGGTCAGCCACGCGCAGGAGGGGGTACAGTGAGCGGCTTGAATAAGGAACACTTACTTTTCAAAAGGGGCTCGGTCGTTCCTTAGGTTTTACATGCGTTATTTACAGTTCCTTATGCGTTATCTATTATTTGTCGTTCCTTATGCGTTATTCCTTGGGATAAAAATGGGCTTCGTTCCTTCTTTATCGTTCCTTAGGTCAGGCCGATGACTGTATGAGGGAGGGGGGAAGGCCTCTCAGAGGCACCCCTGCTTCCCAGACGGCGCGGGCCTTGTCTGTAGATGTAGGGCCGGCGCCTCCTGAGAGGCAAATCTCCTTCTAAGAAGCCTTCCCCCCTCCTCCTCCCCTTGCCCCTCTCTGCGCGCCAGCAGAAGTCAGGAGGGAAAAAAACACAGACACGATGAATCGTCGATGCCCAGGAACATATGTAAACATATGAGAAGTGGGGGGAGGGCGAACATCCAAAAAATATTGAAACATGTGGGGGATCCTTTTATTTGTGTGTATTTATGTGTGTGTGTGTCCCAGGGCCCCTTCAAGAGAGAGCACCACCCCCGGCTCCGTGGCGTGGGGCCCCCTCGCCTCGCCTCTTCAAGGCGTACGCGCTAGGTTCACGCGGCGGTGCCGCGCCGGCGGCGCCAGCTCGGGTGTTGAAGGTTGAGCTCTGCGATAACGTCACCGAGCCCGGCGGAATCCGACGGAATGCGGTCACTGAGCCCGACCGAATGAGGTCACTGGTCAAGCACCGATGGACACGGTGACGCCACGGAACCCGACGGCATCCAACCCCGGACGACCGGGGCCGCGATCGATTCAAGGCTGAACGGTCGACGCGGTGTCACAAACATTTTGCGCGCGCGGGCGCCGCACGAACCTGCCGCAATTCTGTGTGGGGCCTGAGGGGAGCTTTTGAAAGGCGAGAGGGACGCCTCTAGCCCTCCTAGACGGGTTCGGAGCAGATGGGGTCGGAGGATCGCGCCGCATCGCCGATGCATTGGCGAAGCATCGGCGATGCGTCTCGATGTGGACCCCGATGTTCTCCGCGCCGACATCGCCGATGCGTCGCCGACGTAGGCGATGCATCGCCGGTACATCGCCGATGCATCGCCGAGGCATTGCCGACGCGGCGCGATCCTCCGACCACATCTACTCGGACCCCACCTAGGAGGCCTCTAACGCCACGGAAGGGGATGGTTTGCCAGGGGTCGGTTATCATCGAGCACAAAGACCCCTTGACCCGAATAACACGATAAGGCGCGACCTCATTGAGGTACCCGTCTTCGAATCATGGATCATACATCCAGGCGGTTTGGTCTGATACACCGGCAGAAGATAGCCCCTGTCCCTCCTGTTTCTTTGGGCCCTCCCAAGTACTTAGGTCCCACCCAAAGGATTGGGGGTCCTCTTCTGGCCAGTGAGGTCGGGCCGCGCCAGAAGCCCCGCCGGCCACAGGAGTGGCGCACGCACCTGCAGCAGACCCGCGGCTACAAGCAGGTCCCCCGCCTGCTCTATGTGCGGGCGTCGTGCCGCGCGCGCGCGCCGCGCGCGCCCTCTGCCGGCGAGGGTGGCCTCGGCCGTGGCTCGGCTGCTCCTCGGCTGGCTTCGCGGGAGAGCAGGGGCCACGCCAGGGTCAGGGGCAACGAGAGGTGGGGGGTAGGCCTAAGGGGGGGTAGGGGGGGGGGGGCGGGGGGGGGGGGGGGGGGGCCTCGACCCCTACTTTGGGGGGGCATATTAATCTCGGGGTGGGCGCCTAACCTTCGACGGAGCTCGCCCATGCCCCCCCCCCTTCTCCACCTCCTCCTCCTCCTTCCTCTCCACCTCCCCCTCCCCCTCCCCCTCCTTATCCTCCTCCTCCTCCTCCTCCTCCTCCGCCTCCTCCTCCTCCTCCTCCTCCTCCTCCTCCAACCCCCCTCCACCCGTTCCGACAGCACGTGCCCGACCCCGCCAGCGGATCCAAGGGGGGGGGGGCGATTATTTCCCCATCCAGAGCCGGTGGGGCTCTGAGAGACCCACCCCGCCCAGAAACGTGAGGATTGGCCACCGATTCCAGGCCGATGTGTCCGCCCCTGTGCCAGTCCCCCCTGTCGTTGCCCCTCAACGGATAGCGTATCGCTCCGCTCCGCGGTGTGGGAGTCAGGGGACCGCTCGGGATGTTGAAGCTCCGGGACTGGGAAACGAATACGGTGGGGGCGTTGGTTAAGCAATGTGACCAGGAGGCTGCGGACCCTGGTGGATTCCTTACCTGATCAGGGCGGCGGTGATATATCCATGGCCAAGCCTCGGTTGGAGATCCGCCGGCCTCCAGACCCTGGACTCCTTATCTAAGGGTTCCTTATCTAATGCCCCCACCGTACAGTGCCGTTTTCAATACATGTTCCGCGTGCGGATCATGTATTAAAAATGCAGGGATTCAGTATTAAAAACAATGATGAGCTCATGCATACATTTATTCATAAGTTAACCACGTATTTAAAATCCTATAGTTTGAAACATCCCATGTATTAAAAACTGCCCTGTAGCCTGTCTCGCCGAAGCGTGGTGGGCCAGAACCGGCGGAGGGGCACGCGATCCAAAAGTCCCCGGCCGCAAGCACGGGGGTAGCACGCCCCGCCCGGGAACGTGGCTTTTTTTTTCACGATCGCGGGGTTTGTCGAAGATCTCTCGGCGATGCTCGGGCCGGACGAAAGGGGGGGATTGGGAAACGGGGGGTTACGAAATTTGCTGCATGCAGCTGGTTTCGGCCCCACCGAGGGGCCCATTCCTCGATACATAGCCGCCTCCGGCGCCGGGAGGCGCCGGGAAATCAGCTACGTGAGCTGATTCTCAAACCCCCCCTTTGCTATCCCCCCCTTTCGCCCGACCCGAGAAGATCTCTCGGCGATGCATCGCCGATTCCAGGTCAACGTTATGATGGGCCAACCTACTTTAACCTGATCACCAGAAACATTTCGAGCACCAGGAAAGTACCAACACTTTCAGGCTTTCACGCGTCCAGCCTTGGGAGGCGATACTCGTTCGACATGGTTTCGATACTTTTCTGGGTGCTCGAACTTATTTCTGGGATGCGGTCCGTAAGTACGATGGGAACATCATAAGGTCAACGTTTCCCTCCTGAGCGGGTCCGATGCTGTCCTTCCCAATCATAGGAGGGAACCTTCTCCAGAGTGAACTTTTTCGTGCTGGCCTACAGGGTTTCCCCCCCCCTCCCCCTCCCCCTGCGACCCCCGAAAGTTGGAGACGACGACACGAGCGAATAGCCCAGGGGCAGGTATTACACGTAATCGCTGGGAGCCTCACCGACGGCATGGACCATCGGCGCATTTGGATGCACGTACCTAGCCATGCGCTATCTTGAGTTGTTCAATACGGCGCCCCCAGAAGTCCCGACCCGTTCCGAGGACCTGTTTTTCATCCTTCATCGTTATTTGATGACTAATCCCCTGGCCAGGCCAGGATTTCCAGAAGCCGACAATGCCCAAACCCGGCCCTCCTGATGTTCCACGACGCGAGCATGGTTATGTATTGCTCTCCCCATGGGCTCTTGGCCCTCCTCGTCGCTCCCGACAGAACCGCGCACCAGAGGTCACTCTCGCCTGGGGTCCCTCGAGGCGTGCGGCGGGCTCGGGCTTCCCCCCCGCGGCTTTCTTCTGCCAGGGGCCGCCGGGCCCTGGAGCGGCCCGACGTGCGCACCACACCGCAGCCCCGCTTCGCTTTCTCGCCAGCGCGGTGACTCTGCCCAGCCGCCGGCGCAGAAGTGCACCACACCGCTTGGCCGGCCAAGGAGCCACTGAACTCGGCGACGGATTTCGGTGCATAGCCGCTCCAGCATCCCACGGGTGAGGAAGCCGGGGCGTGTATACCCAGAGTCCCATGGCCGACGATACGGCCTGGTGTATGTCTCGAGCACGTTCCACAGACGGGTGGCGGCGCCGATACAGGATCGAGGTTCGACTGGGTTGTGGGCGTTTACTGCCCGTTTCCGGCGCCGCCCCTTGCGCCTTGTCGCTCGCCATGGGAGTGTCATCGGCCGTCGACCCCGAAAGTTCACTTTCTTGATATTGTTGTTTCTCCCCAGCCATCCTGAATTTGGGGCCCTCGTTCTGAATCCACGGCGCCCCGCGTCACTCCTCCTTCCCCCCGATGCCGCCTCCCCCTCCTTGCCTCTCCCCCCCGATGCCAGCGATCCGGATGGCTCAGACATCGCCCGTGAGATGCAGGTGGTGTGGCGACTCTCGTCTCCGTCGTTGGGCGTGCTGTTCAACCCACCGGTCGCCGCGTCTGCGGGTGGCTCCTGCCATGTCAACATGCATGCATCAGCAGATGAACAAAAACACACGGACACAATTCATCGCCAGGAAGATCCAAGAAGACACAGAAAACTGAGGGGGGGGAGGGGGGCAGAGGAAAAGCCAGAAAATATTCGAACATACGGGGAATCCTGGGATCTGTGCCCAGTTCTCTGTGCGTCCCCGAGCCCCCCCTGGCGTGCGCCCCCCTGCGGCACGCAGCCCTCCGACGCTCCGTGGCCGCACGTGGGCGCGACCCACCGCGCGGGCCCCCCCGGGGGCCCTCCGCGCACCGCCGCTCGCTCGGCTCCAGCACTCCGGGGGTTATGTCGGGCCTGTCCCCCCTACAAGGGGATCTTCGACGAAGAATTGAGAACATCTCCAAAATAGTCAAACAATACTCCGAAGATAATCTGGGGACTATGTTTTGAGTATGTTGTATCGGTTTGGTGCATTTTTGGTGTATCTTCAATGTTTCGTCGAAGCTCCCCCTGTAGGGGGACACGCCCGACATAAAGGAAACAAAAAAAGCACCCCGACCCGCACAACTGGCGTCTACTACGCGTTGGCGGCGAGCGAGGGGGGGGAAGTGAGAAGGACAGGGTCTTCTCAGAAGGCTCGGAGGTCCCCCAGCCTCGGGAGAGAATGTGTCTGAGCCCTCCCCCGAAGGCACAGAAGACTTCCCAGAAGGCGCGAGGGCTTCTGAGAAGTCCCGCCGCCTTCTGAGAAGGCCTTCTCCCTCTCATTCCCCCCCCCCTCGCTCGCCGCCAAGGGCGGCCCTGGGCGTTTACTGAGCAGCCCTGCCCTGTTCGATCCCTCCCCTGGGTGCGCTTAGGAAAAACGCCTTCGCTCGTCGGGGTGCTTCTTCTCGGGGCGGCCGCTCCCTGCTGCTCCCTGAGCACAGCCCTCACACGCCCCGTGGCCCCACGAGGAGCTCCATCGAGGGCTCCGAGTGGCAGGGTCCTCCTGTTCCTCCTCCTCCGCCTCCTCCTCCTCCTCTTCCTCCTCCTCCTCCTCCTCCTCCCCTCCCCCCCCTCCTTCTCCTCCTCCTCCCCCTCCTCCTCCTCCTCCTCCTCCTCCTCCTCCTCCTCCTCCTCCTCCTCCTCCTCCTCCTCCCTTTCCTCCCTTTCCTCCCGTTCCTCCTCCGCCTCCTCCTCCTCCTCCTCCTCCGCCTCCTCCTCAAACCATGCGCTGATTGGGGGGGCTTCCCTCTGATGTCATCATTTCAGCTGTGTTCGCCTCTTCGGGCCTCGCTGGAGGGGGGCGGAGTTTTGAGTCTGCGCGTGGTGCGCGCTCCGGACGCGGCCCTGAGCAGCGCGGTGTCCGGTGCCAGCGAGCCTAGAGACAGAAGGAGGGGATTCCGGCTGGACCTAAACGCTGTGTTGCTCGACTCCGGCCGTGTTTTGTCTTACGTTTTGGGAGGAAGGTACAGGAAAGCAGGTAGAGAAAAACGAACAACAAAACGAACACAGCACGAAAAACAGCGCCTAGTCCCAGCCCTGATTCCTACCATTTCCTGCACACTGTGTCAAAGCTCTGCGTACTGTCTCAGAGTTCTGCACACTGTCAAAGTTCTGCTATCTGCACCCATAAGAAAAACGCACGATGGCCCAAGAGGGCGAGGGACGGCCCAAAAGGGCCCTCAAGAAACCTCATGTCGGGCACGTCCCTCTACAGGAGCAAAATTCAAACATAATAGAACAATCGTATGGGGACGAATGTTTGAATATAGTGGATCATTTTTGAATATGTTTGGAATATGTCTTATTTTCTTACACAATCTGCCTGTAGGAACATGCCCGACTTAGAAGAAACCCCAAGGCACGCTCAGACAGCCAAAGAATGCCCCAGGCACCCCCAAGAAGACCACGAAAGCCAATCGAGAGGCTCACAAGATGCTCCGAGACAGCCCCAGACGGCCCCAGCAGGCTCAGGACAGCCCCGAAAGGGCCCAAGGAACCCCCACTTCCTTCCTCACAGCCCTTCTCCTTGCGTTCCTCCTCCCCCTTTTCTTCGTCGTCCTCCTCCTCCTCTTTGTCGACCGCCGTCCCTTTCTGCCCTTCTCATTGTCATCCACGCTGTTCCTCACAGTTTCTCCTAATCGTCCTCCCTGTCGTTGTTGTTTTCTCCCGCCTTGTCCTACTCGTCATCCTGGCCAAACTCGTCCTCGATTCCCCGATTCCCCGCTTCACTGTCCTCCTCGTCTTC